GCGTGGTCGCGGCCTGGGCCTTCTGCGCGGCGGCTCCAAGAGAGAGCTTGAAGCGTTGGGGTTCGCGTGGTGCCTCCTGGGGACGTGTCTCGAGCTCCTTTGCCTGGCGAGCGAGGAAGTCGTCGGCCATGCCGCGAGCCTGCTCTTGCTGCTTGGCGGATTGCACACGTTCGCGATCCTCAGCGGCGCGATCGGCATCGTCAATGTTGGCCTCACGAGAGCGGAAGCTTGCACGGTTCCGGAGCCAGGCACCGCGATCTGCGTAGTAATCGACCGCCTTCCGGCTGTCCTCGGTATCGTCGTTCCAAGCGGCAAGTCGTGCTTCCATCTCATCGTGTGCAGCTTGCAACTTTCCATCTTCCTCATCCTCGCGCTTCTTCTCTCGCTCCAGGGCAGCAGTTCGACTGCGCTCACGGCTAAGCCAGCGGCGCTCTTGGTCTGAGAATTGCTTCTCTTGCTCAGCCTTGAGCCGATCCTGTCGGCGGCGTTCGATTTCTTCGTCGCTGGCATCGGAATCCTCGCCTTCGCGGTCAATGGAAACTCCGTTGAGGGCCCCACCATTGACAAAAGAAACTCCCTTTTGATAATCCTTGGGAATCTGCACACCGAACGCCTTCGGACCCAAAGGTGCGTTCAACACATTGCGATCCCGCGGGCCCAACGGAATACCGTTAATACCAGCAGCAGGGCCAATGGGAGCGGATGCCGGAGGCGAAGCAAGTCGACTGATCCGGGAGCCAGAATTGCGTGCACGCTCCATCGACTCGATCTCTTCCTCGCGTTTCATACGCTCGATGTCGCGGCGGGTGCTTCGTTCACGGAAAGCCGAGATCTCCTTGGCCACATTGGCGCGCATCTCTGGGGGGATATCGGCTAGCTCATCTTCAATTGTAATGGGAATAGTGACCACTTCCCCATCCTTCGCAACCTCGGCATCCTTCATTTCACTGTCGCCTTCCCGATCAAGGGCCGATATCTCCTCCTTTTGAAGCGGGGCTGTGGGATGGAAGAGGCTCGACAAGACATTATCCAGGTTTTTGCGGGCAGCGGTGAAACGTGCCTGGCGTTCCTCGGGGTCTTGCTCTGCTCGGCTAGACTCGAATTGCTCTAGGTAGGTGAGGGTACCTTCATCGACGACGACCTATTAGACAAGTTAGAAGTCAGATTTGAGGAAAAGGGGGGGGGGGAGGGATTTATACGCACCAGAAGCATGCTCTTTTCAACCGCTTTTTCCTCCTCGCCTTCGGCGCGGGGTGTCTGTCTCTTGACCGGCACTTCAACGTTCTTCAAGGTCTCAACCGCGATCTCAAGACTCTCCGGGTCATCGTACTCGGCAAAGCCAAACCGGCAAGGTTTCTCATCAGCATCCGTGGCGCGAATCCAGCGACGCAAGATACCAGTAGATCGTAAAATACGCTCAATGCCATCATCACCACCTGCGCCTTCCGTAATCCCGCCGATAAAAAGCGTGCGCACGATCTCATCGCGTGTAGGCGGCTGGAGCTGCATCATGGTCTCGCGACCATGATGACGCTGGGTATCCATTCCCATTGACCCCAGACCACCGCGGCGCCCAGGAGCGTCGGAACCCCGTTCCCGACCACTCTCTTGAGCTGCAGGTTTGGCCGGGCCTGAGGTACCCAAGCGAATCACCGGTGCAGAAAAGTTAATGTTTGGCATATTCGCAGGCGGCTGGAAGTTGGGCGGGAAGCTTCCTGGACGACCAGGCTGGATATTTGCTTGCTGCATGCCGGGAGGAGCAGCAGTGCCTGGAGCAGCCATCCCTGGAGGAGGTGCTGGAACTGGTCAGCCTAAATTGAAAATGAAACTATTGTGGGAAAGGAGCTAACTCACCCATGCCCGGAGGCGCACCATAGGCACCGTAGTCAGGAGCCTGCCCATAAAGACCGGGAGCTATGTAAAAGTTAGTCTTAGTTTCTTCGAAGCATCAACGCCTTCTCAAAGGTCAAGGAGAAAGCAGTGCTCACCTTGATAAGGATTGTACATGGTGTAAGTCGTACCACTTGTGAGGAAGTGAGGTTGATCAAGGCTCAATTCAAACCGATATATCAGCTGTCAGTTGCCAACAAAAAAGCACAGGCGGTGAGATACGCGGTGAATTGTCCAGAACACCGGAAATGTGGCACGTGCCCTGTTAGCCGGCTGTGCACATGTTTGTACCTGCAAATGTCCTGCCTTATACGGAGTATCTTATGAACATCTTCTATGAACAGGATCCATCTACTCTCAAATTAACCAAAAGATCATTAAAATTCCTCATGTATCTGGACCTCGGGAGGATTGAGAGGTACATTGCAACGCATGTAGATTTGCAGTAGTGGCCAGTATCCCAACAGGAGGTTTAACGCATTGGTCTCCTTGAGAATAGGACCATTTCAACTGGAAAAAGCTATAGCCGTTCAATTTTCAACGCCCCGCCATACAAGAAAACGTTCTGGTATCGAATTGGACCTGGCCCAGAAGAGTAAAAGCAATAGCCTACGGAGTACGAGATTACAGGTGGCCGAATTGGTATACCGGGTATACAAAGTTCAGTACCTTCGGAGAACAAAAGGAGAAATAATAATATTTAAAGGCTCCAATTAAAACAATAATAGCAGTTAACTACAAATGTACCGGTAGATTAAAAAAAAAAAAACAAGTTAAATAGGCAAAATAAGTGAAATAACAGCCGAATGCGGCAATGATGATGTTGCCCCACGACCCCTCGGACCCCAATGCGCCGGAAGCAACTGACGCCATTCATTTTCTTGTTACTGTTTCTGTTTCTTCACTCTTTTCTATCACCCCCTTTACCTTTTATGTACGTTCATAAGTTTCATCTATATCCTGAACTTGATTTACCTCACCATTGCCTTTATATTCCGCTTGCCCCGCGCTGACCCTCTTCCTCATAGAACCCCTCATCGTCATCATGCCCGGCTTTTCGCAAACCAGCGACCTTCCTGCCTGGAAGGAGCTCCAGGAGCACCACACCACCTTGGGACGCAACCTAGTCCTCAAGGATCAGTTCCAGAAGGACCCCAAGCGCTTCGAGAACTTCAGCCACAAGTTCGCCAACACCGTAGACAACACGGAGGTCCTCTTCGATTTCTCCAAGAACTTCCTCACCCAGGAGACTGTCTCTCTGCTTGTCAAACTCGCTAAGGAGGCCAACGTTGAGGAGCTCCGTGATGCTATGTTCCGTGGTGAGCACATCAACTTCACTGAGGACCGTGCTGTCTACCACGCTGCTCTGCGTAATGTTGCCAATGAGCCCATGCAGGTTGATGGCAAGAGCGTCGTTGAGGATGTCAACTCCGTGCTTGAGCACATGAAGGAGTTCTCCGAGCAGGTCCGCAGCGGCGAGTGGAAGGGTTACACCGGCAAGAAGATCAACACCATCGTCAACATTGGTATCGGTGGTTCCGATCTGTAAGCTTTCCTGTCCTTGGTGAAACAGAAATTGTAGCTGACATCTGCACCTAGTGGCCCTGTAATGGTCACCGAAGCTCTCAAGCCTTACGGTCACCCCGACATTAAGCTCCACTTCGTCTCCAACATCGACGGCACCCACATCGCTGAAGCGCTCAAGGACTCCGACCCGGAGACCACCCTTTTCCTGATTGCCTCCAAGACATTCACTACTGCAGAGACCACCACCAACGCCAACACTGCCAAGTCTTGGTTCCTCAAGTCTGCTAAGGAAGATTCATACATTGCTAAGCACTTCGTGGCCCTGTCGACCAACGAGGCCGAGGTCACCAAGTTCGGCATTGATGCCAAGAACATGTTCGGATTCGAGTCGTGGGTGGGTGGACGTTACTCCGTATGGAGTGCCATTGGCCTATCTGTCGCTCTGTACATTGGTTACGACAACTTCCACCAGTTCCTGGCTGGTGCCCAGGCCATGGACAAGCACTTCCGGGAAACACCCCTTGAGAAGAACATCCCCGCTCTTGGTGGTCTGCTGAGCGTTTGGTACAGCGACTTCTTCGGTGCTCAAACCCACCTGGTTGCTCCCTTCGATCAGTACCTGCACCGCTTCCCCGCCTACCTGCAGCAGCTGTCCATGGAGAGCAACGGAAAGGCCATCACTCGCACTGGTGAATACGTCAAGTACACCACCGGACCCATCCTGTTCGGTGAGCCTGCCACCAACGCGCAGCACAGCTTCTTCCAGCTTCTGCACCAAGGTACCAAGCTCATCCCGGCCGATTTCTTGATGGCGGCCGAGTCGCACAACCCCGTCGAGGGTGGCAAGCACCAGCGCATGCTGGCTGCTAACTTCCTCGCTCAATCCGAGGCTCTGATGGTTGGAAAGACCCCTGCCCAGGTCAAGGCTGAGGGTGCTGCTGAGGAGCTTGTTGCTCACAAGACTTTCTTGGGTAACCGCCCCACCACCTCTATTTTGGCTCAAAAGATCACCCCCTCCACCCTGGGTGCTCTGATCACCTACTACGAGCATGTCACCTTCACCGAGGGTGCAATTTGGAACATCAACTCGTTCGACCAGTGGGGTGTCGAGTTGGGCAAGGCTCTTGCCAAGAACATCCAGAGCGAGCTGGAGACCGAGGGCGAAGGTGCCAACCACGACAGCTCCACCAGTGGTCTGTTGCTTGCTTTCAAGCAGAAGGCCAATCTGTCTTAGAGTGTTTTAGTCTTATATGAAGCACTGTGGGATGTGTAGTTTTGACGAGCAACGATTTTCCACATATTTCTCTTTGTTTGCAAACAAATGAATGATTCTCAAAATTTTTGTTACCAAATAATGTTTTGTATAGATTGCGAATCACATTGTAGAATAGAGATAGGTTTAAAGATGATGCAATTGGAAGTACGGAGGTGGTTGGAAGTAGCAAGGGGAAACCTGCTTTGTTGCCCGCAACTCCGCAACGCGGTAGAACTCCGTCCTCAACTCCTGTGCAATCCTCGAACTCTGGAAACTTGCCGACGCGGGGCGGCTAACCTCCTACAATTACTGGAATAAAAAAGTAACCATGTCTCCTATGCGCCAATTGAGCCCATCTTCCGCAGCAGTGGCGTTGCTGTCTTTAACAGGCGCATTGTGGCCAACCAGCGCACTTGCGGGGAACAATGACAACAGCGAGGGATACAAACTGAGAGAGGATATCCCAGTGTCATGTCTGAACCGGACCATGTGAGAGCACTCTTCAACCAACCTGTAGAGCATTGCTAACCATTGCTTGTTCTACACCTGCAGGGAAGGAGAGCATGTAAGCGCCACCAGCCTCCCTACCGTCTCCTGACACGATGACAAGAGCGCAAACCACAAGAATCCACAAAGCTAACAGCAACTCCGAAAACATCCAGGTCACTGACAATCTCGGCAAACTCCAATACGTCCCCTTCGTGACCTGCAACGAAACCGCCCGCCCTCTCTCCCTCCACTACGGCATCTCCGAAACAATAACATGCACCATCGACTCCCTCTCCGATGAGTTGTACCATCTCCTCGAGTTCTACGTCCACGCAGATGTACCAATGAGCTGCCGCGTGCCAACAGCGCCGCTAACACCATCCGCCGGCGCAGCAGAGCGCGCGGACAAAGACTCGGACCAGAAGTCAGGAGATGCAGACACCCTCTCCGCACTAGCCGAAAACGGGCCCCCCTTCACGCCGCTCACAATCGCGCTGCAGGGCACGCTCCAGCGGAGCCATTTGCACATCTGGACGGATATGAACGTCGTCATGCACAACATGGCCTCGGACGCGGCTGCAGAACAAAACACCAAGACCACCGGCCGCCAGTCTGGACAGCCCGGCTTCGCGGTTGGCGGTATTGCATACTCGACTCCCGAGTTCGACAATACCGGCAAGAATGCCAAGCTTGACGAGGACGAGGAACCTGTTGCTCTTGCTCAGGCGGCGCGCGAGCCTTGGACTGCCGGGCACGGCACTAAGGTTGTGCGTGGAGAGCCGCTTACCTTCTCTTTCCACGTTGCGTGGCTGGAGGGCGGTGCCAGTATTGGGTGGCCGGTGCGGCCTGCTTTGGACTCGTGGCTGGCTTTGGCGACTGGATCTGGGAAGAGCTCTGGGTCTTTCTTTTCTAAGCTCGTGTTCTTTGTTATGGCGGCTTCTGTTGGCGCTTTGGTTGCGTTGTTCTGGGAGCGCAATGGTGGGCGTGGTCGTGGGCGGGTCGCTTGGCATGGAGATGGGCTTTTGGGTGGGACCCCCGCGCGTGGAGCGAAGGGTCCTGGTGTTACTTTTGGCAACGGGGGAAAGAGTAATGGGTACGGTGGTTACTCTGGCCCTGCTCATGGCAATGGCAATGGCAATGGGAACGGGGTTGGAACTGGATATGGGCTCCCAAGTGGGAAGCGGGATTGATATGGAGAACCGAGAGGAAGGGGTGTATATCCTGGGTACATATAGAGTGGCGCTTACGACGTGTACAGTGTACCTAACTTGAGAGGCAGGATTGACCACTAGCTTTTTGCTAGTGGTCTACATATCATGATGCTATATCCCAAGTGATCGAGTCAAACAAATCCGATGCATTCCATATCTAATGCAAGAGCCAAATTCAACAGAAAAATCAAGTACCTAGATAATAGTTGTACAAGTAACAAAAGAAAACACCAATTTCCAGGCCAATGCCACCTGCCCACTCAGTCCATCACCCACACCAGCCTCTTCAGTATATATATACAAGCCGAGTAGACAAGCCGCAGCACAGAAGCCCAAAGCAAAGGAGCAGCATAAAACTACCAACCCTGCGCCTGCATACGCTGGATCTTCTGCACAGTCCCCTGGAACGAGAACTTGAACAGCTTCTTCCACCGCTCCATCTTCTTCTGCTTGCGCACCATACCCTTCCTCACATGGAACTTCTGATCAAAAGCATCATGCTTCACGCGATTCTGCGAAATAGTAGCCTGAAGCTTGCGCAGCGCACCGCCCAGATCAGTACCACGCTCAGGCTCAACGTGAACCTGACGACCAAGCGTCGGTCCGAGCTTAAGCTCGACCTTGCGCGCAGGCAGAGGCGCCCTCGACCGTGCCCGGTAGCTGCTCTGTGCGCCTTCGCCGACAGCCCGAGAAAGCGAGTCTGAGAAGATCCGGCGCTGGCTGCTGGGTGCTTCTCGGGGCTTGTTGAGATCGAGTCTGCTGAGGATGTCGTCGAAGTCGGAGACTGGCTTGCGGGCTGGCTTTGCGGCCTCGGGGGCGGCTGTGCTTGGCTCGTTGGCGTCGGAGGTCGGCTTTTGGGCTTTCTGAGCGGCCTCGGGGGCTGTGGTAGGCTGGTCGGTGGGAGATGTGGGTTTGAAGGGTGTTCTGGGTGATGAGGTGGAGGAATTATAGCGCACTCCGTTCGCGAGGGAGACGCGGTGTAGCTGGGTCTGCTGTTGGAGCCATGGTGTTGGCCTGGCGCGGAGGCTGCGGGCCAGGAGACGGAAGTCCATTTTGATTGGACTCGCTCGTGTCAAAGCAGCAGGGCTATGGGGGTGGATTGGATTGTCTTCCGAGCTTAGAAAGGAAAGATTGAGCGAGGTGGGCACGCAGGGTCGGAGGTGCTCGAAGTTGCCGTGACGGAAAATCATCGTCTCCCGATTGGAAAGGAAATTGTAGGTCACGTGCTAACTGCTTTGGGGACATTTTCTAGAGATCGCAAACATCGCACCTGCAAATCTTGTGAACTTACAAATATCTCTCTCATTTAAATTTGAATAACTCTCTTGACATACAAGTTCCACAAAATTCCGCCAAAAAAGGAATGTCATCCATCTCAATCGCAACTCTCCCCCGCATGGGCCGCGATGTTCTAGCGGCCCTGCTCTCCAACGGCGAGCCAAGCAATTTAGCTATTGTCGACGTCCGGGACTCGGGTAAATAACTATTCTTCTACCATATAGTCAAAGACTATCGGCTGACAGTTGAAACAGACCACATTGGTGGCCATATCCGCTCATCAACTTGGGTCCCCAGCACAACGCTGGACGTGCGCATGCCCGAGCTTATTCGCACTCTCAAAGACAAGAAAATGGTTGTATTCCACTGTGCACTCAGTCAGCAACGTGGCCCCTCTGCAGCCCTTCGCTATGCGCGCGAGCTTGAGAGCACCCTTGGTGCGGAAGAGAGCCAGAAGCAGCAAGTATTTGTACTCGAGGGTGGGTTTGTGGAATGGCAGCAGAAGTATGGCAACGATTCTAAGCTGACTGAGGCTTATGCTGCGGATATCTGGGAGGAATATTGAGTTCAGCCTTGAGATGATGAGGGTTTCGGTCACTTTATGCATCTGCCTTTTTTTTTTCATGAGATTTAACGAACTTGATAGGAGAGATACCACTTGGATGCATTGATTGTCTTCATTTTTATTATTGTTATTTTGGGAGATTGGGGCTGAGGAGCCCTGCTTGATTGTTTCTGTATGTTAGGCGAGTCCATGCTATTCTATTTGATGGAAGATGAAATTATTGTACATGAAATGAGCAGTCACGCTCTGAGTCTATTGAAACACAAGACGAATATACTTGCAGGCCTACATTTGAATGCCGCCTCCAAAACCAACCGGCCGTCTCTGTCCTCCATTTTCAGGTACAATGGCCATGACCTTGTAGATCTGTCCCATTGATCCGCCGCTCTTCTCAACCAATCGCTTCCAGGCGGTCTCTAGTGTCTTTTTGTGCTCTTCATCTTGCACCTTACGGAGCAGCTGCCGCATGCGCTCCTCAATGCCCATAGCCCCGAGGAAATCACCCTGTTCAACAGGACCGTGGACCTCGACGCCATCGCTGCCTTCGATGGCCGCTTCAGCCAGCGAAGTGAAATCCACATCCGCACTGACATCCACACGCCCCGGTTCTGAGAGTGGTGCTACTTTTTCGTGACTTTTGATTCCGCGGAGAGAGTTGATGGGGATGGTTGACAATGTCCCGTAGTCCATGATCAGGGCTGCACCAGATGGAGTCTTCTTCTGTGATGACGGCGGCGGGCTAGAAGCAGACATCTTTTTAGCGGCAAGCGCAGAAGCAGAGTCACCCCCGATACGGCGCGCAAAGTCCGCAGCATAGATTCGGCTCTCGGGGCTGATCTCAATGGTTGAGCCTGGCTGCGACTTGAGTGCTCGATAACGCTGGGAGATCTCCGGGATCACTAACGATGACGGCGTGGAAGCTTTGGCTTTGGTCAATTGGAACTCAGGCTCTCCTTTGATGTTCTCTTCGACGGCTTTTGGGTTTAATGTTACCATTAGCTCACGCCATTGCGGGGTGTTTGCGTGTTTGGGCGGATTATGTAGTTCAGCTGGGCCGGTGGGAGTCATGATCTTTCGTGGCTCATTGGCCTGCTGGTTCTCTGGAGATGGTGGAACAGATTCGAATGCATGGATTGGAAGCGCGTCGAAGAATTCATGTGCGAAGATGAAGGGTGTCTTGCCTTCCTCTGCATCGCCGATGTCATTGGTCAGCATCAGACAAACGGGCAACTGACTTAAGATCATCACTCACCATGCGGCAGCAGACGAATATCCTCCACCCAGATAACGGGTACGTCAAAGTACTTGCACACACTCCGGTGTCCGATATCCGTATCTTCCATCACAGCCTCCTCGCCGCAAAGCAGCCGCTTCTGCACTTCTCTGAGAGTTCCGCTAGCTTCCACAAGGTAAATAGCTTCAACACTCGAAGAAAAGCTCTTGAAGTTTCGGAAAGTCTGTTGGTTATAGAAATCGTGGTTAGTCTAATGACTTCATGTCCTTTATTCATAAAAGAAAGACAGGAATAAGTGCAACCACTCACCCGCAGCATATCATCCATCAATGTTCCTTTTCCTGGGCCAACCTCCATCAGCTGAACACCACTCCTCGTCCGCCCCTGCGCCATCCACTCCGCAATAGTCCATATGCCGATCAACTCTCCAAAGACCTGCGAGATCTCGGGCGATGTGACGAAATCACCATTTTTGCCGAACACACCTCCGTTCTCCCCTCGAGTCGTGTAGTATCCGCCATCTGGGGAAGTCAATACCTGGCGCATGAACGCCGCGATTGGTACGGGACCAGTGACCTAATTTCCAGAAGTGAACGATCAGCAAAAAAGCAGTGGGAGGTAATGCGAAGTGCATAGGTACCTTCATGACATTGGCCAATGTTTTCGCTAGCGGCGTGGACCATTCTCTCTGTTCAAACGTGGAGTTCCATCTTCCTGGACATCTTGGAAGTACTGCGTTGCGAGGTCTGTGGAGGATATGCGACACTACGCGCCTCGTGGTTTGGTTCATTCTTGGCTCGGGGTTGAGTGGCTGTATTTGCTAATATAGCTAGATATTCAATAACGGAACTGTTTGCGGCAGGCAAACAAATCGTCCGGGCCCCAAACACTCGTTCTATTGTCTCGCGTCAAGTCGAGATGTTTCTCTCAATCTCTCCGCGGAAGCTGCGCTACACGTGATCATATCCTTATCGGACCGTTATCTGACGCTAGTCCCAAGATGGTATGGCTCAACAATCCGATGCCCTAAAGACTCTGTACAATACAACATCAATATGCATGGGAGCAGTTTAGGTAGCTGTTGCCACTAGAAATCAGACCTTATACATAGAAAATTTAATATGCACATTTGAAGGCGTTTTAATCGCCTATATTCTAACTACAAGACCAACAAGGGGGGAAATCTATGAACAAAAGACACCTAAAAGGAATATCTGTAAAGACTACCAAAAAGACAACGAAAAGGATTACTGAAAGAACTACTAAAAGTCTACTAACCTTGAAAAAAGACCACTAAGAAGACCACTTAGCTCTCGGTGGCCCATCAGTAGTTGCGGTCCCTATAATTGATTGGTGACTAGCATGTCCGTAACAATTAAAAGAGAGAGAGATTAGTTATATAATCCAGAAAAATAGAGGCTATTTTAAAAAGAGTGTAGAAATAAAGGAATTAGTAGTTCTTAGAGCTAGGAAAAATTAAGCTCTAAAAACTAGGGGGTGTGTCGAATATGTACTAAGATTAAATATATGGTAGAAACAGGGTATTTTACCCGGAAAATCATATAACAACTGATACCAACCATACCATACAAAAGTGCATATTATAGTTAGTCATCTATATCCGCACAGATTGTTGAAAAACGCGGGTTTTGTCATTTTTGTTAGTTAGAGATTTCAATATATCTGATTTTGTCCATACGTTGTCGTTCTGCCAGATTTCTGTCAAGATATAGTGTGTCTGTTCCACTGCGCTAGTCCTAACTTAGTGATCACTAGTCCACTTTTGGTCCAAATCAGTCGTCCACCTTCCTCTGTTCATCTCATCTACCTGTAGTCGAGAAAAAAGTTGTCCAATCTTCTTTATATCACGGAAATTTCTCAGCACACTGCTGCAAATAACATACCGCCCTGCACTCGGCATACCTTGAGCACCGTCGACCTAGTCTTGCGCGGCAATGGTCTGTGAAGTATGCGTGAAAATCCTAATACCAGCCACGACATCCGCCACGAAATCACCGCTTGGAGCAGGACACTTAAAAGCCCAGAACACGTGTGGCAAACCTTGGTAATAATCCAGTTTTACAGAAACTCTGCAAGAGGCAAGGTTAGAATGAACAAAATTTTATAGGCAGGCACTAAAGTAGGAGGCAAACATACCCAGCTGTCTTCAAGGCGTCGTAGATGATAAGGCCGTCGTCTCGCAGTGGATCAATCCCACAGACTGCAAGGTAGGTCGGAGGGAACTGGTGTAAATCCGCCTCCGCATTGAGAATGTAGACGTCTGGGTCGCCGGGCGGCGCCTGGATTGCTTCTGTAACCACCCTGGTCAACGAAATGTCGGCTTGTCAATGCATAGGCGTCACCAACTGTAGAAATGGGTCATGGCTTGCTTCGTGTTGATGGGACCATCTCCGAGCTCATCAAAAGCACGATATTGGGTCATATAACGCGAAGGAACACCATCCGGGTGGACAACGAACGGAGCAATGGCTGCGATCCCCTTGACTTCATGTTTCCGGCCAAGCACGATCAATCGGCGTGCCACTACCAGAGCGAGGCTACCCCCTGCACTCTGACCAACAGTGAAGTATCTCTCACGATCACCGTTCAAAGTACTCGCGTTGTTGTATGCCTGAAATGTAAGCAAAACTTAACTGTCAGAGTGAGATGGTGAGGTAAGTTGTGCAACTTACCCAGTTCCAAGCCTCGAGCGCATCATCCAGCTGAGCGGGGGCCTTGTGCTCCGGTGCAAGCCTATAGCCCACCGAGATGACAATACAAGGCAGGCATTCGGCTAGAAGCCTGCAGAACTCGTCCTCGGAGTCTAAATCACCACAGCAAAACCCGCCCCCGTGGAAGTACAACCCGACTGGGCGTGGTTTAGATTCTGCTTGATGGACTGTTGACGTGTAAGTTCTCACGGTGAGATTGGGACTGAGTTTTATATCTTCTGTGTGCACAGTGAGTGGGATCGCATCTTATCTTCGTACTTAACAGGAGTCCGAAAATCGCTCTTACCGACGGTAATATTGGGCGAAATAATTCGGGTTGCATTTGCCCCATCTGCCAGTGCCTTATACTGCTCCCGCATAGCAAAGACATCGCCGGTCAATTGAGGCCGTTGGCCAATGGCATTTTCTACCTAAACTAAGTTAGGGAATAGCACGGAGAACGATACGATGTTGCGCAGTGCTGGAAAGGTTATCACCTTTAGCCATGACTCTGCTATCAATGAATCCATCGCACAAAGAACTTTGAGTCGTGCCAGGTTTTGCCGGGTCGGTGTAGGTCTTCGAAAGCACAGCTAGAGGTCATTTTACATTTGGCTTCTTCATTTTTATAGGCAAAGAGACGTTTAGGCGTTTGTGGAAGCCGCTGTAGATCCCTTCGGATGTCGATACAGCGCAAGTACAAGGAGATGCATGATGAGTCAACGAAGCTACCGAGGGTGATGTAGTGGACCCCCAAGCCTTTTTCGGCTCCAACGGCATAACGAGGCGCTCGTCAGCACCTGGTCGCAACTTGAGACCGATTATTCATCAGGATTTGCTGATCCTCGGCCGGCGTCCTAATGGGCCCTTCGATGAGCGATAAACAGATCAGCCGAGGCTAGGAGTGGGACGTCTCGCCAAACAGTTGGACCTGTTCCCTAGTCAAAGTAGCTACCATAGTTCGCGATGGGATAAGGTTCCCCTACGAAGATGAGCGATCATATCGGTTGTTCGCCGAGGTCAGAGGTGTGATTAGAAATGCCCACATTTTCGGCTGATTAATGGTTTCCTTAAAAATAGGGCGACTCAGTGAACTACGTATGCTTGTTCGCCGTAGATCAATGGGTTGTCTGTTCATCCTCTGTGTACTTTCCTTGATATTTTCAATTCCCTACTACAACCCAGCGGGACAAACGAGATTTTTATACGAAATGGATAAGCAGAAAGCATTAATCCTCAAAGAGGTCCAAAGGCCACTGGTACTAGGCAGGCGACCTATCCCTGAGCCAAATGGGAATCAAGTTCTTGTGAGGATCATTACAGCCGGAAGTATGATCCGTTGATGCATTTATTTGTATGAAAGAAAAGCTAACAGCCCATAGTTAATCCTCATGACCAAAAGGTATCGTGAAGAAGACTTATCGAACAATTTACTTTTTGTCGAATTCTAATCCCTTGTAGGGTCGAGATCGAGGTGTACTTGTGGAGAAGTACTTGCCTCATGCGATCCTGGCAAATGACATCAGCGGTATTGTCGAGAAGATAGGACCAGACGTCCAAAGGTTCACCGTTGGAGATCGCATCGTTGGGCAGTCTAATATCCTGTCGGGTGGTCCTGATCAAGCTGGCTTGCAGCAGTTCTGCATCCTCGACGCAAACTTTGCTGCTCCCATACCACACCATATTAGCTTTGACAAGGCAGCGACATTCCCCGTCAATGCCATTGCGAGTTTTATCGCCCTATTCAGTTCGTCGGGATTGGATTTGGCACCAAAGTTCCTGCGCCACGATTTGGACTACGCGAATGAAGCGATTGTCATCATTGGAGGCGGCTCTAATAGTGGGAAATTTGCCCTTCAGTTCTCTCGTCTCGCAGGCTTTGGGAAGATTATTGCAACAGCCAAGGTCCGCAGCGATGGGGGCCAATCACTCCGTGACTTTGGTGCTACTCATATCATAGATCGGGAGGCAGCGGATGTGGAAGATCAGATCCGTGCGATGGTTGGCGATGAATTGTTGTACGCCTTTGACACAGTAAACGGCGCTTACTCGGGTGGTGTCAGCCATCGGCTGGCGCTCTCGCTTTTGTCGACCACGAAGAAAGGGTCTTTGGCAACATTGGTGCGTGGAGAGGCTGATCCTTCAATTGCAGCTACAAAGACCGCTGGTTTCAAGAAAAACCAAGTTCTCGGAGTTAGTGACCTGCACCAAGAGCTGGCTGCCAAGTTCTGGAGGGAGTTGCCAGGCTGGATCGAAAATGGTGAGCTGAAGCCGTTAGACTTTGAAGTTATTGACGGACTTGACGCGATGAAAGTCAACAACCTGCTGGACGACTACCGTGATGGTAGAGCGGTAACTAAGACTCATGTTCATCCCGATCATTGGGACTCCATTCTCGAATGATAGATACTTTCGCAACCTTGTTTATCAGTTAGCATATTTGCCATCGCACGTCGTGCTTGGTATCATAAGTTACTTAAACTAACGTCAAACTGTCACATGTAATGAACACCATTCCAAGTATCGCCAGGTTCCACGCGGAAAGCATTGAGAACAAATAGTATTTTATAGTGACAGATAAATGGTCCGAATTAGTCGTCAGCACAGACTAGCTGGAGACTGGTAGATATACAGCAAGCTTGATGTGCGCACATCCTGTGGGCACAGGCTTATTTCTGTGAATATGAACACATCACATCGAAGAGTCCAAGAAGTTTCTACCCAATGCGAGGCGGAATGCATGTTCGACGTCTTCTCGGCGAAACGCAGGGCAGCGACCGAGGCAAATGCCGGACTGAATGAGATCTGTTCTTGTCAGAGGGTAATAGCAACCAATCTAGGTTCAATAAGTGCATACGATCAATGAGTAGTCCCACATCCAGGACCCAAGAACCGCTTAGATCGGTATAATTTCGAAGAAGATCTACATCCTGCGCCGGTTTTCGACATTAGTCAGTCATTCATACGTTGATGAATGGTGGTGACACCGAAAAGTACCTGTATGTCTGGTCCCCATCCTCTCGACTGTGGTTCCATAAGATCTGCATTATAAGGATGCATATGTCCCAGGGTTGATTCGTCCATGCCCATGACGTGTTGAGCATTGGGACCTGTTATGTCGGAAGACCGGAATTCTATTGAGGATGCACGTGCGGGAACTCTGCAAAATGCAGTATCGGCACTCAAGAAGATACCTTTCTCCTTGAGATAACCTTCCACATCATATGAATCAAGCCACTCACCATTGAGGCCAAGGTCGGTCAGAAGGTCATGGTCGCTCTGGAAGGATTGTGGCTCTGTCCTTTGATGTACAAAAGCACCAATGAATTTACTCATCGGCAAGGCATTCGGAGGAAGGATAGGTTTTCCTGTGTGATCCCTTCGAGGATAGTGAGTCCCCGCGCCCCCTAGCAAGAAGAAAGGCATATCCCACAACTCTAGGGTTTCGTCTAAGCCACCTTCCAGAAGTCCTTTCACCTGTTGGACTATGGAATCCCGGGTGGACAGAGTCAATGGGAGCCTGAATACCCGGCTCACATTGTCTGGATCGGAGGTCGGATCTACCAACAAGTTATATCCGTTTTTCAGACAGGCTCGATGCAACCGGCGTTCAAAAGACGTCTCGCGGAAGGGCGCAGTGGAAGAAGATAAGAGATGTGAGCGGCACAGAATATTAAGAAAAGCACTGTCATCTACAGCGCATGGCACTGGTTCTAAACGGTTGACAATATGCAGGGTAGGTGTTGGTAAGGATGAATAACTTTGGGCTGATGTTTTGCCTCGTGGGTTGTTTTCTTCGCGGTCGGCACCGTTAAACGAGGAGATCAGATGAGCTAGATGGAGGCCACCATTGACTGGTCCTGATGTGGCCGACTCAAAATCATCTTCTAACTGCTGCGAGTGCTTCCGCTGTTTCCTCGCTTGAGTCATAGTTGATGAGATTTCATTCATTTGAATTGCACTACTGCCCTCGTTACTTGAATTTGCAGCAGCTGAAAATGCAAGAAACTGCGTGCGTAATTGTTGCAGCTTCCCTTCGAGAGCCGGATCAAAAGACAATACACTGGACCTTTCTATTTGATGGTTGTATGCTTGGAACGTCCGATGTAGGTTCTGAATCTGTGTCTGTAGATGTTCAAGCCGATGCTGCAAAGACAAGGTTGCTGTCTCCTTGCGGTAGCGATAGGCTTGCTGCGCCAGTCGTAATTGTAGCCTTCGGTGCTATAATCTCTCAGAATCCCGCCGGCCACGAGTATACATGTCTGAGTCCTCTCAAACCCACCTCAGAAACGGGTACCTTAGTAGTACGTTTCGATGCTCGTTCCGTAGACGAAACATTTGCACTAATCACAGTATTTCTCCTGGATCGCTGCATGTTTACTCGAGGCGGATGCTAGTACTCTCCGCAATGATGGTGGCGAGAGTTTCGTCGCTGTCGCGAGAGTTAACTAAGTGAGTTGATGGTGGGCGCGGTTTGTAATCGTAACTACCTCCCTCACTAAGCCCGTTTTGGCCGTGGGTACGGCAGACGATAGCAAGTAGAAGTTAAAAAAAGGCATAACCAAGGGTTGATATTAAGTTCACCGCTTCTACATATCGCCCACACTATAATGTATCGTTTTTATTGGGGGACGTCAGGTGCTAAACCTGAAGGGAAAGGGAGAATCCTAACACTAACACCCGCCTCTCGGGTCCCGCATTCATAATCGCGGTTTACTGGATTCCGGATCCACACAAGACTTAACAAGTTACAACCTGATACAGTCTGCGACAAGAGTCTAGTCCTTTGGGGAAAGAGTGCGTTCCGCAGCGAATACTGAGAGTCTGAGACGGGAGAGGAGAGAGAAGGAAAAAGAGCTGGAGCTGTGCTGCCTGCCTTCATACCCTTCGGTTTCCACCCATCAGATCGCTCAAAACCAATCGGTCTGTCTCTACATAGTTTCCCAGCGTCAACATCAACCTGATTGGAAATCAAAAGGAGAGCCTCGGCTGTGATTAGTAAACTCATTTGTTATGTTCAAATCCCGGAGACGAGGCGTCAAATGGGTAAAAGGACCCTTGGCTTTCTGAATTACAAAACAATCAGGCTTCCTCATCATATAAGGTGCATTTCGCCTTTTGTGTCTCAGTTGTCCAGATCTTGCCATTGGCCGGCCTCGACGACACATGCCATCTACAACGTCCCAAACAACGATGTCTCTCTCGAAACCAACCATTCTTCTTATCCCCGGAGCCTGGCATCGGGGCAGCACTTTTGAACCAGTAGCAGCACTCCTACGGACACAGGGATATCCTGTGGAAACACTTACACTATTGTCTGTCGGTGGTCCAGCATCAACAACAGTCGCCGATGATGCCGCCCACATCCAGAAAAGATATTTAGACGACCTGATCTCCCAAGGGAAAGAGGTGGTTGTGGTCATGCACTCTTACGGCGGTATCCCTGGCACAGAATCCGTCAAGGGCCACACACGCAGAGACATAGCTGCACAGGGTAGGAAGGGTGGAGTAGTTGCTCTCGTATATATGGCAGCGTTTCTCATATCTGCGGGCCAATCCGTCGATTCGTCTCTTCCGGACGGAGCAGCTTCAATCATGACCTTTGAAGTAGGTTGGGCTGGAGGTTCTATTGACTGGAGAATAACTGACATTTCGAAATCCATAGGGCGAGAAGTCATACTGCATTGATCCGATTCCCAAGTTCTATAATGATCTTGACGAAGACACGGCTAAAAAGTATGCTACTGAATTGGTTTATCACGCCAAACCGAGCTTCTTCACTTCACTCAACTATGAGGCTTATCGTGATGTGCCGACTACGTATCTCTTTTGCGAGAAAGATGCATGTTTTCCTTTGGCTGTGCAGCAGGCTATGGCAGCTATGCCCGGTGATGGGCTAGTGCGGACACGTACTTGTGCTGGAAGCCACTCGGCTATGCTCAGTATACCGCGGGCGGTTGCTGATGTGGTACAGTCCGCTGCGAGTGACGTAGAGGTTGTAAATTAGATTGAACATTGATTACGAGATCAGCGGGCTTCGGTTCCATCCGTGGTAGGGACGCAGTTGGTGCAAGCTTTTATCAATAGCGTGTTCTCATTGGAGAGGATATTGTGACATGAAACGCCCGAGGCTCTCACTTTCGAACTACACCTTCGGCTTTTGCGGATACCGTATAATAGAATGCCTCTATATCGGACGTCCTCTATTACTAAAGGAAATGGTTCCCAGTTCCGCGCTTATTGACAGTGACCAGTTAGTAACGCGTAACATATTCTTTAGCATGAGAACCTAGGACGTATTTTAGCATGGAAGTAACTTAAGGACTCCGCTATTGTATTACTTAAAAATTTGAGCCTATGAGCTGTGAATACATATCCTTGCTCTGCAAAACATTCTAAAATTGGCGAGACTTTTTAGATATGCTATATCACTATAGAGACTATACCTTAAAATCATGAGCTCTGATAATCAATAGTTGTTGGGATATGAAGTTGTTGGGTAAACGTCGCATTTCATATGGTTGTTTTGGGAGTGACCTGGCCAGGGGGTCGTAAGGTGGTGGCGAGTTACCGGTGAGTTACCGGGCTGAGTTTATAATCGATGATGCGAAGAACAGTTCGCTGAGGCTTTAAGCGCACAGTCCATAGACCTTCTATCGTCATGCGTAAATTAGCTGCAAGCCTACAGAGATTAGAATTTTCCAAGTCCTGTCCCGTGTAATACAAATGAGTAAAGGGCGGCTATAGACATCCAAGGTTAGCGCTAAGTCCGAACCATTTGTTAAGCCTAACTAGTCCCGCGAGCTAGGCCGAAAGAGGAGAAACTGTCATCGAGCCTATGGCATCCGCAACCCTGGGAGGCGGGTACCGCGCATTTAGCTCGCAACGCTAGGCCGGAAACGGCAAAAAAGTCATCACACTAGGTGGTGGGTCTGAACTATGGAAAGGCCAAGAAAACTAGGTCTCTCCGAGATGACCTTCAGAAGTCCAGTGCTTTGAAATACAAACACGTTCTGAGCATCACTCTCGTCCATGGCGTCCTGGACTTTAGGGGTTAAATCCGAGTGCTTTGAAATGCAAAGCAAAATTCTGGGAACACGGGGCTAGAAGTCTGAAGGCGGAAAAAGATAAATAGTTCACCGATGCTTCCAAACGCTGAGTCCTAAACTCATCAAAGCTATTTCCATTCCAATTATTACCCGGATTTAAAACAGCCAAAGTTCTCTGTTCAACCACGATGTCCCGTTACGCAGAAGCTCATTCGAACCCTGCTGGCCCCGGCGACGCTCGTCCAACAGCTCTCCAGGTTATCAAGGATGAAGCAGCAGAGGGCAAGCTAGCCGGGAAGGTTATCGTCATCACAGGCACTTCGTCTGGAATAGGAATTGAGACAGCTCGCGCTCTCTCTCTGACTGGAGCAAGGCTATTGTTGACGGCACGAGACCTGGACAAAGCCAAGTCTGCTCTAGACGGAATCCTCGAACGAGAGCGCGTTGAACTTGTTGAGATGGACAACACTTCTTTGAGCAGCGTGCGTGCTGCCGCGAAAGCCATTCTCCAGAAGTCGAACGGTCAAGTCAACGTCCTAGTCAATAACGCCGGCATCATGGCCCTGCCCAAGTTGGAGCACACCAAAGACGGCTTTGAAATGCAGTTTGGAGTCAACCACCTCGCCCATTTCCTACTCTTTGAGCTCTTGAAGCCAGCTCTCCTCGCCAGCGCTGGCCCTGAATTCTCGTCTCGAGTCGTCAACGTCTCTTCTTCTGCCCATCATGTAGCCTCGATCAATGAATCAGGCAACTACAATTTTGAGAAGACTGAATACAACGACTGGGTTTCATATGGACAATCAAAGACCGCCAATATCTACATGGCCAACGAGATCGAGCGGCGCTACGGGTCGCGAGGACTCCACGCTACCAGCGTTCACCCTGGCATGATTGCAACGGCGCTTATGCAGCATATGGACCCTGCAATGGTGGAAGCGTTCATGAAAGACGAAGAGGCGTATAAACTGATGAAGTCGCCAGAGCAGGGGGCTGCAACGACGGTGTGGGCTGCGATTGGCCAAGAATGGGAGAAAAAGGGAGGAGAATATCTTGCTGAGTGCGGAAAAACCACACGGGGCAACGACAATCATGAGATTGGCGGTGTAGGGTTTGCAGGGCATGCGTATGATGCCGAGAAAGAGGATCGGCTCAGGAAAGACTCCCTAAAGATGGTGGGGCTGACGGATGACCAGTAGGCGACGTGAGACAGAAATAGTAGGAATGATGAGGTTACCATATCACAGTTTCTACCTAATTGCTTTTTGTTAGTTACTGCTGCCTTAGAAGATGTCAGGCTAGGTAGTCAAGTAAAGCGGGAATGAATCGCACGTCTGATAAAGTTCAATCCGCCCTATTTCATCTTGCACTAATGAACTATCTCAACTTTTGGCCTTGGCAAGTTCTCGTATGAACTGCCATTTAATTCTAGAAATTCATATAATGTCTCCTTCTTTACGCGCTATCGTCCTGGATGCATCATTTCTATTCTTATAAATGGGACATCAGCCGCTGAACAACTACTAGGTGGGCGAGGATTAGCCTTTGGGAACACTTGCGTTTGTAGATATGGGTTTCGGCTTGGAGTGTACTGTTAGAGCCACATAGCTGATCCCAAACTCTGTTGGAAATACCCACAAGATACATACTTAATCCTGCGATATTTCTCAATGCCATAGTCTTGAGGATACCCACGTGGTAAAAGCCGAAGATATAATTACCGCAAAGGAAAATGACTGCGGTTGTATCGTTTGCGTTCCGATGTTGTGCAGTGCAAAGTTGTGAGGTCATTTGATAATAAACCTAAAGGTCTGCTTGGGCTCGTTCAGCTGCGAGACCGTAGCTTCCTACTGCACGGATTCTGATATTGAGAGTCTCTTTAAATTTAGCACCGACTCAGTTACGGACGTGACTATGTGTCTCCTAATTGACAGACAACTCCAATAGCTACCATACTTCAAGGAAGGGTAGTTTATTTCCGAATTTAAGCCACAAAATTTATATATGATATACATTATATACATCAGGACAAAGAGAGCGGAAATCCAGCAACAGGCTCTAGGTAGATCCGTCAGGATATGGTAGTCTCTCTCACTAAGCTCTTCCAGGGCTTGCGAAAACCCTATCATTGCCATAGGAAAGACCTCAAGCTCTTGCCAGTCTCCCAAGCTTTCGGGTGATGCTCTGTTGGCTCACCAGCCTCTTGAGATTGGATTGGGCAAATGGGATTATGGGTCATCCTCCGCACTTCGGCGGTTTGCCAGACTCAAGGTCCATATCCAAGTCGGAATCAATCAATCATTAGCGAACCACAGCTGAAATGGCAAACGTGAGCATGTAGGCTGCAGTCGAGTCAGTCGATAATGATCGTCTAAGCCTGACCCGTAACACCATTGGCCATTTGTTCCTCCAACATCTCCACGTCCCCTCCGAGTTTGAACCATAATCCTTTTTAGTTTTAGAACAACATCGTTTACGTCATGCCTACCATGCTTTGTACAAGATCGATATTAGATTGGCGAATTGCAGAAAACACATGTATATGTCGACTGTGCCAGTGCTGACGCATCTATCCTCCACTTGACGCTGCGTGCGAGAGCGGTGGTGGCGGATAGCTCCTCGACATCGCGAGTCGCATAGGTTCCTCTCCCCTTTTCATCCTCCAGTGGTTGCTTATTTCCACCAACTCATCGCAGCCCTCGGCAACCCATGCCCATTTCGCGAGAAAACCGGGCGTGGCCTCCCAACTCTTCATCTCGTGCGGCTCGCCCCAGACAATGAGCCCCTTACGCCCGGTGGTCACTTCATCCGGATCACTTCCGGATGAAAGGGTCAGGGGCCGTTGAGTCTCGGGAATGTTGGCAGAAACGGGCGCGTCCCGTCGTCGCGAGGCTGGCGTCGAGTTCAATAGTTCACCGACGAGGTCCTGCATCAGCTCCCAGGAGTCGAAGCGGCCGTCGTATCTGATAAGGTTGTCGCGGACGCGCGGAAAGGGGATGACGTTAATCCAGGTAGAGTGGTAGCGAGTTTGCTGGAGGGCGGTCGGGATGAGGGAGGGAGGGATGTCGCGCTCGAGGGGGTAGAGGGCCGTGTCGTCACGGCAGGGCGAGGCCATGGTGCAGATGGTCGAGTGGGCGGGTAGGGTGTTGAGGGTACGCATATTAGAGATTAAGGCGCGGAAGACGTTATACTGAATGAGATGGAGGAGGTGGTCCGAGGACAAGGGAAAAGTAAAGGGCTGGGGGTCCAAATTTAGGGGGGGGCTGGATATGGGCAGTGGATGGTGATCCTCGTAGGACGACTGTATGCTTGGCTGTGGAGGGTGATATGCCTGTGTACGTGTGAGGCGGGAGAAGGGAGAAGGACGTGGTTGTTGCGCGCTCTGATGCTAGCGAGATTCCTTGGGAAGGAATATGGTCGGGCTCGTCGAGGCGCCAGCGCCTGACCCGGAATGGGCGCGACTCCTGAACATTCCCCGAGTCTCTGCCCTTGAGCCGTAGTCCTGTAAGGTTTCTGAGTATAGAACAGGTTATAGTAGCGAGGGGCATACTTACGGTGTGCTCTTTGATTCTGCCGGTTCTGGACTTTCCTGCGCTGCTTGTTGGCCTCAGCCTCGGCTTCCGCGTCACGATCGTCGACGGCCTGTCTCGCTTCGCTCTGGGGCCAAGAGAGCTGAGTCCCGGCATACTCCATCGTCCCGGTTTAGTGAAAGCCTAATTCTGTGTACTGTATTGTTGGAAATGTAATATCTAGAAGTGAGGAAAGCAGACGGACTAGTCCTAGTCCTAGTTCGGGGCTGAGATATATCGGCCGCCGCTTAAGATACGCTAACGTAATAAGCTTATCCTAACCCTGCGAGCTAACTAACTAGGCCAAGGAAAGAGCATGTGTCATCGAGTCCACGGCATCTAAAAACTCCGACAATTTACGTCGAACTTGTATGGCAGGATTAAACCCCAATTTATGCGAAAGTGAACAGAATGAACTAGTAAGTTAAAGGTCCTCGCACCAGTTCAATGAGATCGTGATTCTTTCCGAGAGTGAATCATTGTTTTGAAATACTCGGCTATAAAAATATGCAGATCATTTTTTTGTTGAAAATTGAACACCCTCAACTGCTTTCGCAACTCCATCGAGCAAAGCCCTATGCCGAGGTGGCCTTTCATCATTTGCGGTGGTGAGAAAGTCTGTTTGAATGACTTCTTATCTTCAGGGGCAATTAGTATGTTAATTATTTCAGACTTGAAACTTACTGTATTGCTGTCCTGGATCAGGCTATCACCGTTGCCTGCGTATTTCCAATATATAAATTCAAAGTCTGAGAAAACACCTAGCCACTGCTGTACACGTAGATCACTGAGCTGCCTTTTCACTCTACCTCACATATCCTTCACTAGAGAACCACTTCTTTCATCCCACCAAATAGGGCTGATGATCCCATAATCCGAGCCTCGCATTTGGAGAAGGGTACTCTCTGCCTTCGCAGTGCGTTAGCTAATCAGTGTGATGCTATAGTCACCCGATCTACTCACTAGTCGTTGTTTATGCCTTGTGCAGAACATTCTGCGTTTGGAAAACAACAGCCTCCTTGGGGAGATGCTTCGCGAGCAGAGCTGTATCCCAGTAAAGCCAGACCTCCCTGAAATTCAATCCATCCACAGCATCGGCGACGTCAGCAGGGCCGATAATAGAGATCCAGCTGAGTGGGACGCTGACAGTTGGCTCTTCGGTGTTGTTTCCAGGAAGCCAGATATTGCGGGTCCACTGGGTCATGATGGTGGTTGTGCCATCATCATTTTTGACTTCCCACAGGCTGTGGAAGTCGTGTCGCAGTCTTTCAAATTGTCCGAAAAGACGCTTCATCCACGCCCACATCTCGTCTCCACCATTGTACTGGGCGTTGTTCTGATTGTGGAAAATGACGTTTTTGGAATAGAACCGCAAGCCAGATCCGTGGTTGAAGCCATAGGAATCAACTGTATCAACATATTTTTTAAAAAATTGTTGAGCTGGAGTCTCTGGTCCGGAGGTATCCCAGGTAGGAGCGGAAACACAGCTTACCAACTCAGGCATGATTGGAGAACAAAAGTCAACGAAAGGGGACACCAAATAGAACGAGAACTCTCTTGTTTGACCTGGATTAATGTCTTGATATTCGCAAGCATTTTATAGTTAGTTACGCTGACGCCGCTACCGAGAGCCGAAGGGTCTGTTCTGCGATTTCTTGATTAGAATATTGCCGAGGCGCAAGTCGTTCACATCTTCGTAATCCATGGAATGTACTACAAAGCCGAGATTTCAATTTCCGACGATCATCACAAACTATAAAATACTGTGGGTCAAGATAGCGACTCTCGGGTTCCCGAGGTCAATGATCAGTAATCCCTCGCCACCTTACTTCACCGACTTCTGGGTGACAGTTCCATTGAACTATACCCAGCATTTATATATAGAAGAACAATTTTGTAATTTATGTGTGTCAAATTCCTCTTCATTAATGAAAGTTGATTCAACTCCAATTCTCTACAATATGGGTCTCGACTACAAAGTATTCACCAGCAGACGTTCTGGCGTGAATCGGTCCACCCCAGCCGGTCACGATCATCTCAAGTGGGTGCCGACCACTTCGACTTTGATATTCGGCCAAAAAGATGCGGTGCTGGTCGATACGCAGTTAACCACGGCTGCTGCCAAAGAGTTGGCAGACTGGGTAGTAGCCACTGGGAAAAACCTCACGACGATCTATGTCTCTCATGCCCATGCCGATCATTTTTATGGTACCGGTGCCCTCCTCGAGAAATTTCCAGAGGCAAAAGTTGTGGCTACGCCGGAGACTGTCTCTCGTATGGCTGAAGCCATATCTCCCGAAGGGATGGACGCCTTTTGGAGAGATCTTTTCCCTGGTCAGATCCCGGAAAAGCTCGTGATGGCCACCCCCTGGAGCAAGACCACTTCATGTTGGAAAACGAGCGATTGGAAGTGGTCAGACTGGGCCATACAGACACGGATGATACAACGGCTCTCTGGGTGCCTGCAATCGGCTTGGTTGTTGCGGGCGACGCAGTCTACAACAACACCCACCCATACCTTGGCGAGTCGAAATCCCAAGAGGCCAGATCGAGATGGGTGGCAGCGCTCGGTAAGATTGCGATCCTTAAACCGACAAGTGTCGTTGGCGGTCACAGTGACCCATCTAAGGGATTCTCCCCCGATGCCGTCCAAGCGACCAAGGATTATTTGGATGACTTCGCGCGACTGGATGGGCAAACATCCACTCCCGAGGAATTGTACTCCCAAATGGTGGAATTGCATCCCACTCGATTGAATATCGGCTCGCTATGGGGAGGTGCAACGCTCGTGAAAAAATGATTCTATGTGTGGTCTCCATGTTGACTGAGTAACCAACGGGCTGAATTAGTGCACCATGATTCGGTATTAGCTTAGGATAACAAAGAGCATATTCCTTGACATTGTATTATGGGATGATATCTTTTTAAGAAATTTGTACCAATAATGCACTTTGCTGTTACCAACAGGTATATACGTAGGCATACTGCTCAGTGGCAGAGTTCGATCTTACAGCCTTCTCATTATGATCTAGACTCGAAATTTGCGCACCTCGGGCTGTCAAAAGTAATCCCAAGCCTCAATCATTAATAGTTGTGTCGTGGCTGGTTTCTTGTCCAATACGTCTCGACTTATAAATGCACTAAGACAAGTCAAAGAGGACGGCACTCTGTTATTGATAGCGTGGGTTCTCTAAATGTATTTTGGGTTGAGAAAATTCTATATGCAACAAAAGAAATGTCAAATTGAATCACATCTCATTTTGCGAAGGAAACCTTGGAGAACTTAATACGCATGCGTTACGCGTGTCGCGTCTCAAGACGAGCCAAGCCATTTCCCTAAGAAGTCAATCTGTCCTTCAATGTTCTGTTCAAACCAATCCCCGGTATAGATATCAAAATGACCTGCGCCATCAATATACAAAAGCTGCTTTGGCTCTCTTGCCTTTTCGTAGGTGGCCATCTGAGATGCCGTGGTGACAAGGATATCATTCCCAGGAACAACCATCAACAGCGGTGTCGGCGAGATACGATGCACCATACCCTGTCCTTCAAACGCAAGCATATTGAGCTGTGTCTGAATTGTAACAGAATTTTCCCAACGACCACCGCAATCGTACGAGCCTCGCACCTGCTCGTAAGCATGAACTCCGGGAAACATGGCAGTAGTGGTTCCTGACTGCGCTGCTTCCAAGTTTTCCGCAATAAGCGGAACCCTTTCTGGTTCCGATCCTGCAGTGATACGAGCACGCTCTTTCAGAATGCCCGGGATCCGGTCTTTGAAGGCCAAGGATCGCGTCTCTCCAGAAACTGCAGGGCACTGTACAATAGCAGCCTTGATCCGTTTGTCCACAGCGGCTGCGTATAGAACATTTCCTCCGGAGAAACTCGTGCCCCAATATACTATGCGAGTATCATCCACACTAGGGAATGATGTTGCGAAATTGAACGCATCGTAGTAGTCGGCTTGTTGAAGGGTCGGGTTTGACTCTTGCCGCGGTAATCCCTCACTGTCACCCCAGTTCCGATTATCATAGAGGAGTACATTGTACCCCGCTTGCTGGAATCGATCCGCGAACTTCGGGAGCCAATAGTGACGGACACCACCCAGCTATTTGTAGTAAACGGATGAGAATTAGCCAATTTCATAGGAAAACCCAATATCTTAATATCTCAAGGTGTACGCACCCCATGGGTCATGATCACACATGCCGATTTCTCAACTTGGGGATAGAACCATCCCCGGAGCAGAGTGCCATCGCATGTGTTGAACTCAATGGTTTCACGAGCGAGGACCATTATCGCAGAGATATTGATTGTTCCAGGTGTAAGTCGAAATTGAAGATTCCCGAGTTGGCTGTTTGAGAATGACAAACAAGTTAGCAGAGGCAATATTATATTACTCCCTTCCTGTTCTTTTGCGAGCCTCGGCTTTACAATAGACGAGTAATCCAGAAATCATCGAAGCCCCTTGAGCTTTCGATTATTGCTTTAGCCGACAGACCCGCACAGCAAATTATATAATACCCGCATCACACAAGTTAACTAACTAGTAAAACGCTGCTGTGTCCCTAGTAATCCCCGACCGAGGTTGCTCAAATCATCAGCCAAGACATATATCAAGCTTTTTATTATGCCGAAACGGCTATCGTGTTTGCGTTCTTCATTTTGATTGGTTTACGTGTGTCCAATCATATTCGATTCATTAACTGACTTATAGAATCAAGTTGGATATATTGCTAGGAATATCGACGCTGCAGTAACCTCCTACGAATATGGCTCTCCAATCGCTCAATGTAAGTTACGCATCACGAAGCGATAGAAAGAATTAATAGGCTACTAAATTTCGCAGTAAGCAATACAGAAAAGCATCGTTTCGTCCATGTGTTGACTGCATACTCTGCCTTAGTAATACCAAGTCCCATTTCGAAAATCGTAAAATAGATTTATTGGAGATGTGTTAACTTGTGTTATACGCAATTAAGAAGCATGTAATTTGGTTCTCGAGGGAAGTTCGCGAGTATCCTCATGCACCATCACATAACGTCCTCCACTTCGAAGCCTTGTTCAACGGAGCAATCCAACCTTAAGAAAATGGAGCCCCTTCGCCTGGCTCATCTACCCCTAGAGCAAGTTTTCCCACAGTGGTTGCAGACTCAATTAGCCGATGGGCTTCCTTCAGTCCAGCAAGATTCAACTTAAGGCGTTTGTTGAGGTTTGGTACCAATTTTCCCTCGTCTATGCAACGGGCTAAGATCCCAAAGATTCGGCGATAATTCTCCAGATTTGTACCATGATAAGCTGATGAGCCTAGCCAGTCCCACGAGAAGGTCATCGACTTTGACATAAAGTCCGTCCCATAGAGATCGAACTTGGCCTGCACGATTGAGCAAACTTTGGCGAAGGGTGCACAGATTTTCCCTAGGGAGTGGATATATTGCTCCGTCCTTGCGACCACGTAGGCGTACCTGGAATTAATAGTGTCAGTTTTTGAGATGCAAAGAACACGATATTAAGAGAGGGCGGAGCGGACCTTATTGGGACATCCAGGTTCAAGGCTTTGATTTGGGACTCGAGATCCACCCTATGATTCACAACATGGGTGGCACCCATTTTCCTGCATGACTCCATGGTCTCAGGTCGGGATGCAGTTGCAATCACCGCGGGAAGTTGCAAAACTTTCCTGGCGATTTGGATGGCAGCACTTCCAACTCCACCTCCACCATTGATCTAGAACGGTCAGATGTGTGTTCGAAATGCAACCTAGGTAGCAATAGCCATTATAACATAGGCTCAATGCATCAGTGAAACTCACAATCAGAATACCAACGTTTTCGTTCTGCTTAATCTCCAGTCTGTCAACAAGAGACTGGTATGCTGTACCGAAGGTCAGGCCCATACTAGCGGCTTCCACGAAGTCAAGCGACTTCGGCTTCTCGGCACAGAGAAGTTCATCAACTAGGACGTACTCTGCAGCACTGCCCTGGCGAGTAGTGGAGCTCACGTAGAAGACATCATCGCCTGGCTTTAAGTTTGTGCACTCAGGCCCGACCTCCAAAACGGTTCCGGCACCGTCAAACCCAATGATATGGAAATCCTTGGGCACAAACTTGTAGTAGTCTTTATTTGATAAGCATGAAAGTCTCCCAGAAACAGAACGGAGCAGGATCATTACCTGGAGCGTCATCATAAGTCCCTTTGCGGACTTTCGTGTCGATAGGATTCACAGAACAGGCCTTGACTCTAAGTGATGTCAGAATTAATGTAGCAGAATATTATCTGAGAATACTTACTGAATAAGAATGTCCATTCCTGTAGGGCTCTCCGGTCGCGGAACGTCGCGGGACTCGAAGTTGTCGACTACACCATACTTGGCGACTCCAATTGCTTTCATTGTTCCTGTTTCCATCGTGACAACTGTTAGACGCTTTCTCACAAGGATCTTAGGAAGGGAGTTTAATACCTATTTTATATTTCAAAAAGCAGAATCCTATAATCTCAAACCGAGGTTTTGTGAAATATGATTAGAATATCTTACTGCATTTATGATTATTATTCATACTTCCGAACGGTAATCCCCGAACGCCGATCTTGTCGGCGCAAGAACAACGGCATACCGAAAAATGTATTGATCCTACATATTTCGTAATTTATGCTATGTAATCGAGGCTCCATATAAATCGTTAGCAGAGCCGATATAGGAAATACAGAGAGTTGAATGACAGAAATCTGGCCGTATAACAATGTATGGTATGGATGGCAGATCTATTACTAGGCTTGCTAGGTTCTGATTGATCCCATGATAATGACAACCCCTCTAGAGCAGTATCGGCGAATAATAATCGAAGGTTGAGCTCATGGTGGGATGTTTTTTAAAGGCAGTTTTTCTCTACTCGAGTACGGACGGTAGAAGGATGATGAAGCCCTTACTACGGGCGGAGTAATTGAATATATATCCCTTTTACGGTGATATCACTTTAAGCAAAAATGAGAGAAAGGTAGGGCTGGTGATCATCTTCATCTATCTCGGTTGATCTTCTTGCTCTCCCTCCCTCTGTAGTGACGTAGCAATGTACGTCCATCATTTTGATTTCATATTTACGCTCAACATTATCCTATAGATAAACAATATTGCAGTAATATACAATGAGCCCACACCAGAGAGCAATTCTCACAAATAAAATACAATATCTCAAGGATCACTCTTCAAAGTTATCTTCACTATACCAGCGCACCTGGGCACTCATGCCAAGTCATTCGTTCCTTCCTTCCAGTCGTGCCAATTCTACCTACATGTACCCTGCCATCGGAGGCTGGTGTCATGGACTTCTTACCACCACTTATATTTTCCCCTCATATACCAATACTGCGACCGAGAAGATGGAGTGGGGTAAATGCATGTCACTTACATGCAGACCTGTCTCTACAAAGCTGTTTTCATTGGCACATCCCAACCGATGTTTGGCTTTCCATGAATTGTCTACCCCAGTCAACCTGCAGGGATCTTACCCGGGGAACAGGTAGGCTTCATCTACCGATATTGCTCGATATAACTAACCATATCGCCATGAACAGGCTGTCTCGTCCCATCTGTCACATGCCCTCGAAAGGATAGAGTGGAAACCGACAAAGATTATGGAGAACACTAGGCGGAAAACGCAACGTACGGGGCACACCTAGCTCCGAACAACGACCATTTCTGAGTCCTTCCTCTCCCGTCCTACGGGAGGTGGTGAAAGAGTGGTCTTGTTCAAGTCTTATTCAAGTCGTGAGCTGGGATCAAACCTGCAATCGATGTGGTGAATTGGTGCTGTGGCAGGAAGGTTCTAGGTCAAGATAACCGATGCATATGAGCCAAATGCGTCGGCGGGTGTGTTTCTCCGAATGACCTGGGAAGGATATGCTAGGATCCTTGGCTCAAAATGATCCATCTCCAACTTGCGGTACGTATACCTAAAGGAACATTGAAGTCAATGTGACATCTAGCTGACTTGAACGAGCTCAATGGATGAATATTACAAGAAATGCCTTCGGAAAGTGTGAGGCAAATGAAGCGTTGACTAGAATCACGCTCAACAACCTTCTTGTGTGCTGCATCACTACGTCACCTTGTATGAGAAGACATATAAAAAGACTACTTGAAAAGACTACTTGAAAAGACGTCTGAAAAGACGCCTGAAAAGACGCCTGAAAAGACATCCGAAAAGACTACCAAATAAATATTTGACAAGGTTGCATAACTGGCCGACTATTCTTGTGTTGTTATAGTTGAAGCCAAATCAGGAGCAACTGCAACAACTGGGGTATCCCAGACACTCGGGTACATGGGTAAGTGCTTCATCTATCCATGGATTCTTGCTTTAATTTCTGGAATCTAACTTGATTAAGGTTGCGTCCATAGAAGACGACAAGACCTCGGCAAGATGGATTCGACGGTGTACGGCGTCGTAGCTGACGGTCAGTACTTCGTTTTCTTGAAGATCAACAATGATTCGCAGGTAAGTACATTCTATCATTGAATCGTACGTGTTCTAATATTTGAATAGTGGTGCGAGCATATTGTTTCTGCTCACCTGAACAATTACCAGGAGGTACTCAGATTGCTCGTGCACATTTTTCATGCTGCCGCAATCATGTAACCAGTGCAATCGGAGAAGACATCTGTTCAAACTCATTCCAAAGAGTCTTCTAATGTGTCGTACATGGGATTTGATATCGAGGAAGAGGACAGTGACGAGGAAGAAGTTTGATTGTTTTGTTACAGTTTTTTATTTCCCTTTGTTTTGTTTTTATTAGCTGCTTTCACTATGGAGTACGTCTCGAACATTACTGGCTTCTATCTATAGCCCAGCCTTTTCTTTGTCTTTGAAGAGCTTCACATTTTCTTTCCTGCTTCACGTTCTACCCTTGCTACCCTCGGCTCAAAGCATTTCTTTGTCTTGCCGCTCTCGCTTGGATGTCAATGAGCGTCGCCGTCATGCTGATGTCCACGAATTTGTCTGTTGGGTGCTGATATCTCGAGTCCGTGGCTACCGAATTTGTCTTTCTTTATAGTTTCCTTTGTTTGACAACAGATGAAAGTTGATATCCCATGTCTATAAAAGCCGTCTGCTCTTCGAGAATCAACCTTTCTCACTTCCATATCTCTCGCCTTAGTTGGTATCAATCAATAATTCTTTCCAATTCCCACTTCGTCAACAACCCAGTTGGGTGTTGATTCAAAATGCCTACCACTCGTCAGAAAAGAAAGGCCGATGACGACGCCCTTCTTCCTGGTATTCCCATGGATGAGAAGCGACCCAAGAGTTCGAAGGGGGCTGCCTCTAGCTCCGGTCGTGCTTCCAAGCCCGCTGCAAAGAAAGGGAAGAAGGTATTGCATTCCCTTGTCCCTTGTGTCATGGCATATCACTTACAAATGATTCTTTGAAAAGAAGCAAGATCCAGATCCGCCCCATGTTGCACTTGCAAACGACCTCCTCGAGCGTGGGGAAGGGCTACGTCTTCCTGGAACCCCGTTATCACACGGTCAAGTTTTCAAGCCACCGAAATCATGGGGAACCCGAGACGAGCCTATAACCGATCCTGCCAAGTTACCTAAAGGATGGGACCCATGCGATACAGATCTCGCCGAGGAGTAAGACACGTGCCAGATCTCTCTGTCTATCGATTCTTTACTAACGTTTTCGTGATAGTGATGTCGACGCCCAAATTGAAAGATGCTACAGACGCATCGATGAGGGAATCATGCCTGCCATTTTCGAGCAGAGATTGGAAATGTACCAAGGTATAAAGCGGAGACAGACGTAAGGAAATCCTTCATTATATGCTGTGCCTTTCTTATGACAATGACTAACCCACTCTTTTATAGAGACATGATCAACTCAGAGCCAGCCGGTCTTAGCTGGGAAGTCGTCCAGCGCCTTGATATGCTAAAGAAGGTCAAAGCGAGCTTTGATGAGACGGGAAATGACAGTGGGAATACCCCCAACGTGATAGCCATCATGGCTGCGTACCGCTCCGGGGACCTTGTCTGGGATAAAGATACAGTCACTTACTGGGCACACGGAGAAATGATTGCTGGTCCCAAGAAAATGGAAATCGACGAATTTTACGCCCTTAGTAGGGAGTTTGGCCCACATGGTGTTTGGGTAGAAGGAGTGAGTTCAATATAAGAAAGAGCTGAGCCCCATTCGCCCATACGTAGACTTCTTGTTTTATCAAGTTAGTCCAACATGAAGATATAGGCATATCCATCCGAATACAGCACTAACGTTGACTTATAGATGGACGACTACAAACCGGCACCGATGTGCCTATACTACACTTTGGGCCCGTACTATCAGGGGTACGCCATGCATCAAGTATGATTTTCCATGTGAAAATTCGAGAATGAATACTAACATGAAACAGATTACGGTATCGGTCCGGAATCCTACCACTTGGAACCTGAACACATGGCAACATACCATGCACCTCCCTGTTCTGGAGGATACTGGTGCTTCGGTAATGAAGATTCATCAATCCGATAGAGCCTATCTTGAAAGATTGAGCGGCGCTCCCGTGCCTGTCTCTGGTGCATCAACAATGGGCACAGCGGCTGGTGAAATCCCGGTGGATAATGTGGTATTGCAAGTCAATCTCTACCACAATGGTCAGCCCATGCTCCCCAAGTGGATTAATGTTCGAGCTTGTATAGGCCATGATCCCCCCAATGCTCCCCCGAATCTCCGACTGTCTGGTATCTGGCTTCATCATATGCTGTATTGTTTGAGTTTGCCTGATAATAGCGGCAGAATGTACATTGGAAATGATCTCACCGAAATTTTGGCAAATGCACCCACAGCCGCTTGCAATCCAGCACTCGCAAGACCACCACCCGTTTGATCAAACCATTCTTCGAAGGAACGTTTGACAATACATGGGCAGCTGGAGATCGATTCGGGGTTATATATTTTGATTCTACTTGATTGTATCTGTGTTTTTGCTTTTTTTGGTGTTTCTACTTGTTGTGTCTTCTATTTTGGTTTATGTTGAGCTTCAGTTGCGTCTAGTTCATGTGCCCCTTGGGGGCGTGAGGCGGCATATATCACTTGTATTTGGAGTTTCTGAATTTGATTAGAACAAGTGATGGTTTGGTTTACTGTTTTCAATGATATCGGAAGGGTTAAATACCATAGGCTTGTGTTGATACCTACCTAGGTATAGTTTCACCTCTTTTCTTCCGACACATGTAAATAAGCAAGTAGCGAGGAGCGACAGGTAATACCGTACGTAACATGGGTACGGATTGATGTGCATGCTGAAGAAAAGTCCTGAATAAAACATTAATAGTCTGTCCGATTTGTCCGGTTCGCCGCTATCTGCTGTAAAAAGTGTGCTCCGAATGTTAAAAAATGTCCATAAACTGCTGTAACCATATCATACATTTCATGAGAGTGTAACAAGGAGCATGATCCACGACCATCTCCCGCAGTTGATACTCCTTACACCAACAACGCTAGCCAACCACAAGTTGTCATGCTCAAGCTTGGGTGTTCAACGACGCCTATTCCGTTGGTTCTGATTCCTCTGGGTATTCCGCCCCGGCGCATCGACCATCATTTCATCGCTGTAGAGGCCGGTCTGCGAATTTCCCTGGTTCTCGGCTAGCAGATCGTTCGGGTGGCCTGGGGCACGACGGGCTCGGAGTCGTTCCTGATCAGCTTGTGCTCGGAGTGCAGTGAAGGGATCTTGGTGGGTTGCAGCCTTCGTCGATTTAAGGGTCATTGTGAGCAGTCTCCCATCAGCCTAGAAAGCATGTGTCAGCATCCATCTTGCGATATCATTAAACAGGAACGGCATTTACCCTTTGGTTGTGGAAATTGGCAACCACCAGTTCTGCAGCCGTCTTCTCCGCATATGCAAATTCCGCAACAACACTCGGCTGGCTTGCTACTATCTGGCAGCTGAGCATGGGACCTGTTATGGGCTCAAGAGCAGATTGGATGTCGGCAGCTGTTGTCCCAGGCGCAAAGTTCCTCCCGACGACAAGGAATGGGCCCGAGGCACCCTTAATGGTCATGTTGCTGCCACCGAATGGGCGACTGTTCTTTGCAAAGGTTCCTGATCGCGCGTTCCCTTGGCCATTCTCGGATTGGAAAGTTGCCCGGACCTGATCCGCATTCACGCCATCTTTCTTGCCAGGTTTGCCGCGTGCCCGATTGCTGTTCGTGATGGGTGCGGGCTTGTTCTTGTTGGGTTGCACGGTCGCTGACGCGGAGCGCTAGATGTCAACGCGAGAGATTGTTAAAGATTGTTCCTCAATGGTGGTCGCATGCATGGTCGCATGGTGGAATTGGTCATACCTTGGCTACTCCGATCCTGCTTGCTAAGCTTCCAGGCTTTGCATTCTGTGGTTTGTTCTGCGCTTTCTTGCCGGCACCGGAGCCCGAGCCTGGGGCGCTTGATCTGCGGTTCTTTCCAAGGAGTTGGTTTGCGAGGTCCTCTTGCTTCTTCTTTTGACGGTCTGTGGAGGAAAACAGTCAGATTTTGCTAGGTGTCGTCAGGTGGTTGGAGGGTGATTACCAGCCTGGATGATGGCGTCGAACGAGACGGGTTTTTTGGTCGCCATCGCAGAAAGAATATAGATTAGACAAATTAATAACAGAAATTAAAAAGAGAAAAGAATTCAGAATAAGTGAGAATACGTGGAGAGGTTGAAGAAGAAAAGAAGCTCGGGGAGCCGATCAGCTTTGGGGCCGAGCTGTCAACCCTGTCCGCAGCAACTCCTTGATTATACAAGAATAGTCGGCCGCTTATGCGGCCTTGTCAAGTATTTTTTTAGTAGTCTTCTCAGGTAGTCTTCTGAGGTAGTGTTTCAGATGTCTTTTTAAATGTCTTTAAATATCTTCTCGGATTCTTCTCGGATTCTTCTCGGTTGGTCTTCTCAGACTTTTTATATGTCTGTTTTCATAGATCTTGTCTCCCCCTTCTCAGTTTGTTAGGTAGACGGCAGAAAAAGGGAAAAAAAAGCATAAGAGGCTTTTCTATGTATAACCTTTGATAGCCACATATATAGCCAATTGGACCAAGGTTGTTTCTACATTTCTATGTTATTCAATTCTAGATGTTTTCTTGGATATGTTGACGTTGAATTCTACATTAAAAACTCGAGGGGCACCTAAAACAGAATGGGAAGGCAAGAGGCGCGGATCATATCTCCGAGATAGACTTTATTGTACAATGTAGATCAACGCAAATGCAGACAATAAAACGAAATCTGGTATTATTTACTCTTATAATGTGAAGAAAAGCAGTTATCCCAACCGAAGAGTAAATCCAGCCCCTGCTTCACCAGTATCTCCACCTGCAGCACCTCCAAAGACACCCGCAAAGTCCAGCTCGGGTGCTTCCTGACCTCGTTTAGGAGCCTCAGGCGTGTGATGACGTCTCCGTTTCTCCATGCCAGCCTTGGATGGGAACGTAGGGAACATCTCTCGTGGCTTTGGACGCGGATCTTCCTTGAAATATTTGTGATCGAGGCACTGTCTTGCCGTAGGACGGGAGGCCGGATTCAGCGCCAGCAATCCGGACATAAGACTCAAGCCCGCGTTGGTCAGGTAAGGGAACCGGGAGCGAGGCAGCAGAGGCGGGTTGCCGGCTGAAGAAGGTGCCGATGTCGACGGAAGCCGCAAGGATTTGGCGTTAGGCAATGAACGGAATCCAGGCCATGTTTCAGAGTTGGGTGGCCCGGTCAAGGCGAAGATCTTGGACACCTGGTCCACTTCATTCTTGCCCTGTAAGAGAGGCTCTTTGGTGAGCAGCTCGCCGAAGATACAGCCAATGCTCCACATGTCGATCTCCGTGCCGTACTTGTCGGCGCCGAGGAGTAGCTCCGGCGCTCGGTACCAGAGAGTCACAACGAGCTGTGTCAGCTTGGGGGGTGGATCGCCGAAGTAGCGGGCCATGCCAAAGTCGGCGATTTTGAGTTCGCCACGGTTGTTCATTAATAGGTTGGAGGTCTTGAGGTCGCGGTGCATGATCCACTGGGAATGTAGGAATTCGAGTCCTCCAACTACTTGCAGCAAGACGGTCTTGATCTCCGAAGGAAGGAAGGGCTCGCGCATCTCGTCAAGTAGGGCTTTAAGGTCGTGTTCGTGGAAATCCATCACTAGGAATACACTGTCGGAACCAATTCATTAGCGTATGTAAACAATATAGAGACCACCGCTGAGACTCACTCGTCCATTTTGTTGCCCATTACTACTTCCCGCAGGTAAACCACGTTTTGATGTCGCGCCTCCAGAAGTGTTTGGATCTCCCGGAGCCCAGTGACTGGGAACCCGTCCGGCGAGTTCTCCAGCTTGAGCTTCTTCAGCGCGACAATTTCGCCCGTCGAAATGTCCTTTGCGCGTGAAACCCATCCATACGAGCCCTCCTCAATGTGGTTCAATCTTTCGAAGTTATCCACATGTCTGCAGGGCCCCCATTCTCCAACGGGAAAGCGTAGTAGGGTCGACTGGATTTTCTGTTCCTTCTCAATCTTCACCACTTCGGCATCGTCTGGATGGGCATCGGGGTCGTTGGAGAGTCTTCGTCGCTTTTTCGGGGGGCCTAGCTCGCCATTGGCTTTGGCATGAGCTTGAGCTTTGTTGGCATCTTCGAGTCGCTGTTTCTCCGCTTTAGCGCGTTTTTTCAGTTCCTTGTCGCGTTTTTGTTGCGCGATAATTGCCTCTGTTTCTGGGTCCTCATTTGCCCATCTGGATGACATTTTTCGTGAGGCAACGTTGAAAGGGAGAGAAGTTCGGGAATGACGTTTCGTCAGAAGCCGAGTTCCTTCGATTTGAAATCCAACGCCCCCACCTTGAATTTGTATAGCGCATTGCACATCTTTATTCTGATCTTTAGATCTTTCTCTTCTAAAATATTATATTTCTCTCTTTGTCTTCATATCCTTCGCTTTTAGTTGTGCACATACTCCTAAATTTCCCACCGATTTCGGATCTACCCTTTCTTCCCCGCCATGATCGAACCATTCCAGGTCAGCCTATCTGAGCGCCATGACTCACGAACGCCCAATACTAATGCGATTTTCATGTCTAGACGACCTTCTCGGTCCCAATGACCTGCGAAGGCTGCGTGAAGTCTATCTCCAGCTCTCTAAACAGCCTGGAAGGTAATCATCTCACAGGAACATCCCAAAAACCCACCTTCATCTAAGCTAACCCCGCGGCAGGAATCAATAAGGTTGAAGCAAACCTCAAAGATCAGCTAGTCTTTATCGAAGGCACCGCTCCTCCCAGCGCCATTGTAACCGCGATCGAAGGCACCGGCCGCGATGCCATCCTCCGCGGCAGCGGCACTACGGACAGTACGGAATGCCCGGCTCCTCATAACCGCTGTTTTTTTATGACACACACGAGCAATGCCAACTGATATACACCATAACAGGTTCCGCCGTCTGCATCCTCGAAACTCACTCAACAAGCGTCACAAATAATGTCCGCGGGCTCGCTCGCATGGTCCAGGTCTCCCCGAACATGACCCTCATCGACCTGACAATCAATGGCCTCTCGCCGGGAAAATACTGGACAACTATTCGACAAGCGGGAGATATCTCCCGGGGCGCCGAGTCTACTGGGGGTATCTGGGAGGCTGTAAAGACCAAGGTCCTTGGTGCTGATGCTGCGGCCCCGGCCAAGGAGTCCCGGGGTATTCTCGGTACCATTGATGTTGACAATAAAGGCAAGGGCAGTGTGTTCTTGGACCGGCCTGTGGCTATCTGGGAGCTTATTGGTCGGAGTATGGTTGTTTCGAAGGGGACGGAGGGTCCTTTTAAGCGCGAGGATGAGAATACCCTTGTTGGTGTTATTGCACGCAGTGCAGGTGTGTGGGATAATGATAAGATGGTTTGCTCGTGCTCGGGTAAGAATGTCTGGCAGGAGAGACAGGAGCAGGTTGCCTTGGGTATGGCTTAATTGAGTTCTGGTCTTGAGTTTATCAGGAGTGATGTTGAATGTTGGTGGTGATGCCACTCTTTGAACATGTAGCCAGATCAACTAACTACCTAGTAACATATGTAGCTTCAAATATGTGATACCATGAAGTATAAGCGATTATGAATGACAGGACAATTTTACTTTGCTTTCAGTAAGAGATCACACAAACAAACTGCTAGCATTGTGCGTATAACCTCTCTCTCCTTGTTCTTTTGTTGTTAAATTGATTTGCTAAAGTGTGCTGAAAATGTATACGCACCTAGATAGACTCATAGATGGAGTACTTCTCCTTACAGTTACACTCCATCTTCCTCTGTGACTATGTTTGTTCTGGGATACCCTTCAACCTAGAGCGTATTATATATTAGAATATTAGCATAAAGACCGCAGATGAGGTCCATAGAAAGGATGTTGAATAAGAGAATGAACTGCTGCAGTGAAAACATTATTCTGGCCCTGCTAAGGGTGGGTAGGTAATAATACAGTGTGGCCAAAGGGGACAGGGGGCCCTTTTGGTCAGGCCATGAAAAAGTATTAACGAAGAATTTCACCAAAACTGTCTTGGCTGCACAATTCCAGGATAAAACTCATCGTCCGTATCCTCTTCCACAAAGTCCAATCCTGCACCGAGCATTCCATCAGGTATGAGCGGTAGGGACATGGTCCCTGGAGAGATTACCTCAGTTAGTTCTTGAGGTGCTCTGGTATTACCACAGTTGCTGGTGGTATGCTGTGCATATTTAACTGGCTCATTGCCTCTGTCGGGATACTGGTTGCACGTTTTGCCGTCAATAGGGAAATACTCATTTCGATCCTCCACTGGGCTGGGAAAAAGAACCTCAGAGTCGATTGGGGACCATGGAGACCATGTATCATTTGTCATTGATTCCATGGAAGTCATTTCCGTTGATGTGATATCTCGCGATGTGGTATTGGCGGGTGTGTAGCGGATTGAATAATCCTCAACACTTGACCATTGTGTGGTTGCTCTTTCGGAAATAGACGACCATCTTTGGCCAAAATTGCGGTTGGAGATGCAGTTGAGGGGATTAGGATAAGAAAATGGCTGCATCTCTTCAGAATGGGTGATTGGGGTTTGCGGGGGTACCAAGGGTATGAGACTTTCATCGTATTCATGATATGAAGGCAGGTTGCTGTGTGTATCATCCTGAAGCACAATGCATTCGAGTGGCTCTTGAGAAGCGCATGTGCTTTCTTCTTGTTCATAGAGCACACGGCTGTGTTGTTGACTGTGGTTGGGACCGTGTTGACTAGAACTAGAACTGTGTTGAGTGGTATTGGGGCAGTATTCACTGAGGTTGGGACTGTGTGGACTGATATTGGGAACTTGCTGACTGGGGCTGGGACTATCCTGTTGTCTCGTCCACTCATTTAGCGCCTCATGATAGATTCCTGGAAATGCAAACCCAACTTCAGCGGAACACTGTCTCGAAATGGGAACTGGGCTTGGTTGATCATCGCTGATCTGTGTATCCGAACTTGCATGACTGATATTTTGCTGCTGAAGATTTGTTTCTTGCTGCTCTCCACGAACTGACTGAGAATCTGCCAGTCCGTGGGCGGACGTTTTAATCTCTTCATCAGTAGAGAATGCAACGCCCCATATCTGCTGCATCAAATGGTGTTCTGTCGATGGCGTGGTGTGAGTAGAGTGGTCCTCAGAATTCATATTTGCCTCCAACTCTCCGGTTCCAGCAAATTGGAAGTCAAGATCATGGTCGTTGGCTAGTGTATAAGTCGAGTTCATCCCCGAATTACTTACAGCTCGGCTGGGGGGTTGGTAGAGTTTGGGCGCAGATGCAGGTGCGGGAAGTGTCGTGAACGAGCCATGTATCGAATTAATAGACGGGACGCGGATAACAGACCCCACTTCGGTTTTGGACGATGGAGAAGACGGTAGAAGACTCATACGAGATAGTTCGGCTCCAAAGGCCAGGTCCTCTTGTGTATCCGAAGTGTACGCCCCGCATGAAAACCCGCGGTGTTGTCTTTCGCGCCTGAGAGCAACGGGGGTAACAAAGCTCTTCTCGGGGTTGTCTTCATCAGTTGAACGGTGCCTAAACCCTGATCTCAGCGCCAATAGACCTGATCGTGCTTTGTGGAGAGATCGCTTTGAGATGGATTGGACCCATGCCAGCGGACTGCGCGATTCCAAAGACGAACTATGTTGCTCGTGGGAACGCCACGTCAGGTTCGCTATCTCTGGGTTGTGACGAGGATCTAGGGGATTAAACACAGGGTAATGGATCCTTTCTTGGCAGGTTGGCTCTTCCTGCACAGCATTAGCTATGCTGCTGTCTTGGTTAGCGATATCTCTTTCACCGTTTGTGATTCTTTGTATGTAATTACCTAGCTCGCTTGCTTGCCTGGGGGCGGAAGACCGATGATAGCGAGAATAAATGGCGACGTATGGTGCCAGAGCCTGTCTGTTCGTTGACGGGGCTCATGTTGTTCAGATTGTTTTAGGACTTTATCCAACCATTCGAATCATCTATGAGATAACGAAAGCATGGGAATGATCATGAAAGATAGATACCGATTATGCGAGCGTGTTATTATGTAGACACGAAAAACAAAACAAAAAATAGAAAAAGAAAACAACCGCCTTGGATGTTTACTTAAGATCAGGAGATTGAAGTCGAAGGGACGCGTGATCAAAATTTCCACTCGAGGTTGATCGCTCTTGCCCTCGAGCTGCATACTCCGCCTCTGCCAATTGAATGGATACATTGAAAAATCGTAGGTTACATTATAGGTAGACTTCCATATGTAGCCAGAGATTATCGGCCTTATTAGATTTCTAAGATCGAGTATTTTAATGAGGCTACATGAAGGAAAGGAAAGGAGAAGGCAACTATAGCCTTCTATCCGTGAGGAGCACTAGAGCTAGGGTTCGTCATAGCAACGTGACCGAACACGGGACAGCCTGGGCAGCCATGGTGGCAGCGACATAAGCAGAGCCACTATTCATGAGGAGCATTAGGACACTAGGGTTCGCCATGGAAACGTGATCAAACGCGCAACTGAAAGCGCGACAGCTATCCATATAGCAACGACGACCTCAATAGAGCCCTCGCAGTGTGACCGACTAACTAAGAAACTAGGGTTCCCCAGGGCAACGTGACCGAATGCGCGACGGCGACAGCAACAAAAAAGAAAATCAAAGATAGACCCCTAAGACATCAGGACGTTATTGGGGTATCCATGAAGCTTAACAGGCTTATACCTTGGCGTATAATTTAATCTCTTCCAAATGAAAATCCAGTTCAGAAAAGAATGTTTATAGATCGTAATGATAATGATGCTTCGTTGCTTGATTCTGCCAGATATAATCTTTTCCAATATCACGCTAGTCATTTAAAGCTTTCCCCATGCGTCTCAACTACAGGTCCGTCTCGGGTACAGTTGTTGAGTAAGCTGGTGTTGAGCGTTATAGTAACTGGATGGGCAAACAGGAGGGTGCAGTGGAGGACAGCAAGCGGACGACTAGTACCACATACTAGTGTGAACGCGTAATCCTAGCAACGATTAAGTCTGGATTTTCGTTGGTTGCTGCAATGATTACTCGGATATTGCAATATATCTCGAACTTGGAGCTCACAGTTAGTCGTCATGGCCATAGCTTGGCAAGCGCTGAGACGGTGGGCATCAAGCTACATCGGTGGTATACAGCGAGGAGGGGATCCGTAGAGCGGAGCTGCGAGGGTAAATATATATCACTATGTAATTTTTTTTAAATGTATCAATGGTTTATAGGGGGGAAGGGAGGCACAATCAGACATTGCACGAGGGCTTATTTGTCAATATTATTTCTAACAATGTACATTGGCCTTTTGGGTATACAATTATTCAATCCTCTAGATCAAACATCCCCATGTAAAAATTTGCTGATCTCCTCGCAATTGAGGAATGACTTTGTTTTAGGGTAGGTGCCGCGAAGAAGCCACCCTGCGTCGTTGAAGCCCCCTGTGAAAACATACATATCCTTCCACACCAGCAGAAACCGCACGTTGTTTATGGTAGCTACCACAGTCGGAGGTTACGGCACGCGTGTTCGACGCACCTCACCCCGCTTGTCAAAGTCGTATGGGAAATTGTCGGATCTATACTTGGGGGAAAGGGTTAACAGCGCATAGACAACGCCTCCGTCGTTGAGACGACGGTTCTTCGGCTTCCACAAAGATTCTGTGGCTGGGTCAAAATTGCCCTTAATATCGGCGGGATTAGGAGGTGGGCCACTGATTTTCCACTGGGAAACCGAGGTGAGGTTGAGATATCCTCCGCTATAGGTGACATTCGTGCCGTTGTCTGAATCAGATTACCATCGAGCGGGGTTCGGGCATCCATTGATCTCTTCATTCTCGACGAATAGCCTGCACTTCCGTCAGAGCTCGAAAAGGTCAATCATCCAATCGCCATCTTTCTCGTTGCCTGGAAACGCCATTATGTGAAGATGACCGATAGATAAGGTGATGTAGAGGCTTGAGGTGACCCGAGAAGTCTAGCTTCGAAATCCATAGCAGTTAGTATGGATTGAGCTGAGCTGCTCACATAGAGACATGAGAGACATGAGATACATGGGAGAAGTGATGGAGGTGATGGAGGTGAAAGAGGTGAAGGAGGCGGGGGAGGCGAGGGAGATGAGGGAAGTGAGAGATACTAGAGAAACACACGTATCGGCATGAGGCACAAGTATACCTCAGTAGTTCTCCAACTTTCGAGAAGCCCCTTACTATCTAGTTTGAATACGTTTGAACAGACAGGAGAAAAAGCAAGTATTGTATCCAACAAGGACGAGAACACCAACATCACTCCCTTCGATTTGCCTCAAAATATGATGTCAGGTTGAATGACATCTCAGCCTCGAAGCCAATGAAGAGCTTTTGATTTGCGCTGAGCGCGCTAGACAGAATCAAGTATAGATCGAAGCAAGTTTACATGATCGGATCTGTGAAGAGATCTCTGCCGCCTTTTCCCCGGCTGCTTATAGTCTTCAGTAGGGATAAGAATAGTCAAAGCCAGAGATATGACCCAAGTGTCTTCGGAACATGCTTGGATATGCGCGGGCATGTGCGACCGGCTCGACCTTCGAGGATCACCCTCCCAGGCTATGCGGTAACTTGCCCCGCTTCTGATCGAACAGCGTCAAGACCACACATGTTTGAGAAGCATTAGGTTTGGGATATATTAAGGGTCACACCCCGAGAATATCCGGGGTACAGTAGCGCTAGGTCCGGGCGTGGATATTCCCCCGCACAAACACGAGGGCGGGAATCACCGTGAAAAATAAAAGCTTCATAGGTGTCAAGCATCACGCACATCGGCGTCCCCCGTCTAACAGGGATCAGGAAGCTTGATTGAAAGACATGGGATGGGGTTTGGCTGGAATACTGCCAATCAGGGGTGTTATGCGAACACAAGGTTTAGCCATGTAGAAGGCCCCCCTGCAAAATGATAAGGGCATTTGGACATCCAGGTATCTCAAACAAGTGTGATTGGTACAAAGGTCATCAGAGTTCAGTGCTTGCTCATGTGGAGTACAACATAAGAAGAATAAATACTGTCACTATCAGAGATAACGGAAGTCGGCGCTTTCTTATCTGAAGACCCGAGACCACACTCCACTTTTAGACCCGTTCACACAACTCCTTCATCCAATAACAATCCAACTTTCAGTCCAAGACGGAAGCGAGTGCAGAATTCTCGGCATGCTGATAAGCTAGGGCTATCAGGAGTGTTTTGATTGGTTCAACGGATCCCTTGATGGGGCCTCAAGGCTTGTCATTCGGCTCGTCTTCTGGAATTTATGGATTTTTCGAGAGGGGACACGCGACAGGGCCATCTTTGCCACAGTGCGAGCTCGCGGGTGGGGCCGGACGCGCAAAGAATTCTCGCGAGACACTATATTAACAGCTCCTCCCGTTCGGTGGACCAAAAAAAGAAAGAGAGGACGATGTGACACTGTCCCTGTATTCAATCCCTTCATCCTGATCTCCCTGGGTCTCGCTGAGCCTACCCAGCTCTTCGATTAATCCCGTTTATATTCTCGTCTCCATTCTATTCTTCACCTTCGCTGGTGAGGATTCGACCGAAAAGATGCTCCCCAAGATCGCCAAAGCGTTCCGCAGCTCAAATGAGGACCTGGAAAAAGCTCCCCAGGTGAACGATTCCTCCGACTCAAATAGTAATGAGGTATTCGACAACTCCAGCGATGGCGCCGTGCCCGGCGAGAGCTTCGAATACGGCGATTCGCTGTACGCCAAGATTCAGCGCGTAGCCGGCAAGTTCAACATCGAGCAGCGAGGTGTCGAGCGAGTTCCGGATTCTGAGCGGACCGATACGTCCTATTTCAATATTGGTAGCATGGTGTGTTCCTGCAACAATTACCTGGCGTGATCGCCCTGGCCTGGAGGCCTTTTCCACTGACCAAACCTAGTGGCTGGCTGCAAACATGGTCGTCAGTTCATTCGCCATTGGCGTTCTTGGAAAGTCTGCATTCGGGTTAGGCTTCGTTGATGCCATTTTGGTCTGTCTCTTTTTCAACCTTCTCGGTGTTATGACCGTGTGCTTTTTCTCGTGCTTTGGTCCTCCCTTTGGGCTGCGCCAGATGGTGCTCTCGCGATTCTGGTTTGGATGGTGGCCTGTGAAATTCAGTAAGTTAGCTCAGGATTTTCATTGGGTTGTATGTGGAATGGTTATACTAATTCATGATTTTCTAGTTGCCGTCCTTAACATTATCGCCTGTGTTGGTTGGTCTGCTGCCAACGCTATCGTTGGTGCCCAGCTCCTCAACGCGGTGAACGACCAAGTCCCCGGATACGCCGGTATCCTCATCATCACATTCTGCACACTCATCGTCACCTTTTGTGGGTACAAGTTCGTTCACATGTATGAGTACTGGAGCTGGATCCCCACCTGCATCGTATTTATCATCGTGTTCGGCACATTCGCCCACTCCGGCGATTTCATCAACATCCCAATGGGAGTCGGAATCTCTGAAATGGGTGCCTGTCTATCCTTTGGATCGACAGTCTATGGTTTCGCAACTGGCTGGACCAGCTATGCTGCCGACTACACCGTCTACCAGCCAAAGACCCAGAGCCGTCGCCTGGTCTTCTTGTCTGCCTGGCTTGGTCTGATCGTCCCCCTGCTCTTCACTCAATTCCTCGGTATCGCCATCATGTCCGCGACGGAGATGGGTGACGGGGTTAACAACAAGTACGCCGAGGGCTACCGAGCCTCCGTCAACGGCGGGCTGATCGCAGCTGTGCTGGAGCCTCTCGGCGGCTTCGGCAAGTTCTGCCTCGTCATCCTAGCCCTGTCCATTATCGCCAACAACTGCCCCAACATCTACTCCGTCGGCTTGACCTTGCAGGTGTTGAGCCGGGCTACGCAGCGCGTACCGCGATTTATCTGGACTTTCCTCGCCTCATGCGTCTCCCTTGCCATCGGTATCCCGGGTTACGACCACTTCGAGACCGTCCTCGAGAACTTCATGAGCCTTATCGCCTACTGGCTGGCCATTTACTCCGGCATTGCGCTCGTTGACCACTTCGTCTTCCGACGTGGATTCGCTGGCTATCGTCCGGAGGACTACGACAATCCTGAAAAGCTGCCCATGGGAATCGCCGCATCTGTTGCGTTTGCTTTCGGCATTGTCGGTGTTGTTGTTGGTATGAGTCAATCGTGGTGGACGGGTCCTATCGCCAAGTATGCTGGAGACCCAACAACTGGTGGTGGCGACATCGGATTTGAGTTGGGCTTTGCCTTCTCTTCCTTTGTATATTGCATCCTGCGACCGATCGAGCTTCGTATGACTGGTCGTTGAGTTTGATTTTATAGTATTTGGGGTTTTGCGATGTACATATTGGGTTAGTTCGAAATGGGTCGGTTCGATTGCATTCGGTTTTTATACATTTGCATAATTGCATTACAACATATTTTGCATCATTTTCGAGGCGCCACTGGTAGAACCTTTACCTCGGACTCGGAGGAATTCAGAAAACTCGCCACTTGTCCTTCGGTACAATATCAAGCCGTTCTGCCAGCGGATATAAAGAATACTTAAACCCGTGGACAATACTAGCAGATTTGCAGATTGCATTGGTGAGCTCGGAAACTCTTCGCTTTCATTGGTTAGGCAAGCCACATGTGGGGATTCACAACCCTGGAGCATGTTTCCCAATCCGGCAAGTTAATATCTTGACGTCTGATGACAGGAATCGCGCACCTCCTAATATAAAAAGCAGACCAAATCCCAGAGGATGCGTTTGATTATTTTGAAACTACAATTAGCTGTTCCAAGCCAATCTAACATACCTTTAAACCAATATTGCGTGTAACACATCTAGCCCTAATTTCATACCTCGACCATGCCTCTCGACTATAATCCTGAAAAAGAGGTCCCCGATCTCACGGGGAAATCAATATTCATTACAGGAGGTCCAAAACCAACCATCCTTTCTGTCTACAAGTTGGCAACTAACAACCAACCTAGGAACCGGCGGCCTAGGCGCAGCATCAGCAATCCACCTCGCCAAGCACAACCCATCACACATCTACCTCAGCGGCCGCAACGCGACAAGCGCAGAAAAAGTGATCAAACAGATCCATGAAATCAACCCCAATCTTGCAGTCACATTCATTGAATGCGACCTAGCATCCCTAACCTCCGTCAAAAACGCCGCCGAGCACTTCACCAGCCAACACCCAACCTTAGACATCCTAATGTGCAACGCCGGGATAATGGCCCAACCCCCCGGCCAAACAGTCGACGGCTACGAGCTCCAATTTGGCACCAACCATCTCGGCCACGCACTGTTAATAAAAAAGCTCCTACCCCTCCTCGAAGCCTCCGCCGACCCGCGCATCGTGCTCCTTACCTCGCAGGCGTGGGGTCTGCACCCACGCGGCGGGATCAGTTTCGACAAGCTAAAGACGACGCAGGATATCGCGTTCGGCGGGCCGTGGCTGCGGTATGGACAGAGTAAGCTGGCGAATTTGGTGTACGCGCGCGAGCTGGCGAAGAGGTTTCCGGCTATCACGTCGGTGTCGGTGCATCCTGGTATTGTGGGGACGGGTCTTGCTGATAGTCTTGGGATTAAGGAGAAGATGCTTGTTTATGCCACTAGTTGGTGGAGGGTTTTGCAGCCGCATGAGGGTGCGTTTAATCAGACTTGGGCTGCTACTGTGGACAAGGCGGAGATTCGGAATGGAGGGTATTATGAGCCTGTTGGGAAGTTGAAGGATGGGAAGCTTGATGCGACGGCGAGGGATGAGGCGCTTGCGGAGAGGTTGTGGGATTGGACCGAGGAGGCTTTGAAGGGATTTTGATTTGGTGTTGATTGAGTGACTGCTTAATTGGGGTCTTGGACTGGATTGGAAGGAATTTAGCTTGGTAAATTTGTGCTGTTATGAGCTTTGCAATATGATAAGCTGGACCATGAAGAGGCTTTGTAAATCCTCGGGGTTTTAGACTGATCTGATCTGGGAGGGCAAATTCACAAGTATATCACCCCAAGAAAGGAAGGGAAATAAATCCAGTTGCTAACAGAGAAATGCCAGACTCAATTCTTCAACCCTTAGCAATATCTTTGTCAAACCGCCGAAGGGTTCAAATACACAGAGTCCTTCCAAGACCTCAGCATCCTCGCAGCAGCATATTTTCCATTGCGTTCCGCAAGGTCGACAGCCCTGCGATACTGCGGTTCACCTTCGCCAACAATCAACGCTCCTTCGTCGAGCAGCATTTGTAGCATATCAATTCGACCGTGTTCCGCCGCTCCCTGTAAGGCCGTACGTCCGTTGTATTTCGCGGGAGCTTCATTGACATCTGCTCCTAGGTCAAGCAGTCTCCTTGCAATACCAATATAACCTTTGATGGATGCAATCTGCAATGCAGTAGCACCGCCGTCTGTGGCAGGAGGGCTATCAATCTTCGCTCCGTGCTCCGAAATTAGTAGGTTGATAAGCTCCATGTTTCCATTTTCAACGGCATGTTGCAATGCTGTTCGACAGCGAGGCCCACGCCCAAGATAGTTGACATCGACTTTTTCCATCAATTTCCGCGCGATTGGGATCATTTGTCTCTTGACTGCGGCTTCGAGGGGACGGTACGTTGCTTGCTCTGTTGTTTCGACTTCTTCAAATCCAAATCCCTTGTTGAAAACGGTGTATTCGATGGTGACTTCCTGAGTCAGATCAGGATCGAAAAGCAGTATATCCTCCGCGAGTTCATTCAAATGCAGAAGTATCGCAACTGTCAAGGCGCGACCGCTCAGCCTTGGGCTCCAGGGGGTCCATTGGAGCAGGAACCGTAAACCCTCCCTACTCCTTGCCCTCACTGCTATTTCGAGTACCGACTCTGGTTGCGGCAGGTGAAAATGATTGTACCGCCAATGATCCCGGTAATTTTGCGGTACTCCAGTGGGGTCCACTCCTGCCTCTCGAAGAAGTTGAAGCAGTTTTAGGGATGCATTGCGAGAGAATGCGGTTCCTACTGTAATGGTGGCACTTCCACGGAACCTGGCCAGTAGGTGTTTCAGAAGCACAGGATCCTTCCCTACGTATATAGCATATGCAACAGCCATATCTGTAACCTTTGCACCGCGTTCCAAAAGCAATCCTGCAAATATAAAATCCCGCGCTTGGATTGCTGCTTCCAATGGGGTCTGTTTGGAGGGGGCAGGGTCCTCATTTCCGATCCGATCTTCATGATCAGCATCATATTCAAGCAAGTAGTGAGCTAGATCGGCCTTCTTCGCAGATAAAGCAGCAGCAAGAATTCCGGGTCCTGATACCCTCAGAATGCCTTGAAGAACTCCATTTTTCTGCAGGTACATAGCAGTACCCAAATTGCCAATCGCTTCTAGTTTAGTTCCCAAAAATGTAGCTCCGGCGGCTAAGAGGAAATTAATCAACACATCATCACCCCGTTTAATGGCAGCTCCAAGTGCAGTGTAAGGGGGCTCGGTGTATTCATCGTTGAGGCGTGCGCCTGTGCCGATCAAAAGCTTAACAAGTTCGCGCGAATTTCGCTGAAGCGCAAGGAGAAGAGCTGAGGACCCATGTTTCTGAGGGGAAACCGGTCTGTCAACTTGGGCCCCATATTCAATCAAGACTTTGCACAGGTCCAATGCCGCTGGGAGCCATTGGCTGGCGCGTTCAAGCAGTGTCATTTCCCCTTGCTCATCGGCTAGTTTTATATCGGCCCCAGCTTGGAGTAGAACCCGAGTAATATCAGCACTTGCTCTTTGCACCGCTAGTACAACGGGCGAAACATAAGGAAGGCCATCGAAGTCAGGGTTCATCTCATAGCTGCCCCGCAGCAAGGCACGTATAATATCGGTAGATCCTGAATAAGCGGCTGCAAGGCCCAAGATAGTAGTTCTCGCAGTGCCACCCTCAAAATAGACATCGACCAGATCATTTATATGTGCACCTTTGGCGAGTAAAACTTCAATTACCGGGATATTGCGATGTCTGACAGCCTGAGCAAGAGCACTGCCGTCCTCCATTCCTGTTCCGCGTGCGTTCACATCAGAACAGGAATTGGCGATATCTGTGAAGACTTCGATATCCTCCAAACGTGTAGCAGCAGAAAGACAATATGGCGTTACAATAGCACCATGAAGCATAAGAGCACGGATGATTTTGTTCTCGTGTTCGTAAATGGCATAGAACAAAGGTGGGTACTCGTTTCCCGAGTGGTTCACATCCGCCCCATGGGATATAAGCAGATTGACAAGCTCCTCACTGCGTTCATAATAGCTTCCTGCGATGAATTGAAGAGGTGTCAGAACACCGTGGGAGATTGACTCAACTAATGGGTTGTTTAAATCCATGTGGGCTTCGAGCATCATCTTCACCGCGTCCACATCGTGTAGTCTCAACGCACTTGCAAACACCTTTTCTGCAATAGCTTCAGCAGTTGGCTCGCGAGTTGATAAAAGGATCTGAATATGTCTCAATTCCTTCCAGCCATAGTCGCTCAACGTTTGCATCACCCGCTCGTCATTCGATCTCATATTCCTCTCAGTTGTTTTCTCTGGATCATGCGAAGTGAAGTTGTTTGAAAGAAGAAAAAGCTCTAAAGCCATGCGATCTTTTCCCCTGTTTGTAGAGATGCTCAAGTCCGTCGACAAAGCATCATGATGGCCCGGAAACTCCTCTGGCATGAGTATGCTTAGAGCTGCCGATGTTCGAGAGCTACTGTGTATATTCGCGGGATGACTCAGTTTATCCCATGGTATGATTGTGCTCAGGCGCTCCATCAGTTCGTGGTTGACGGTGCTAGAAAGCGCATCGGCATCACGAGGGGAACAGATGGGCAGCGACGAGGACGGCGATGGTACTTTTAAATATCTAGTGAGCCTCGGCCGCATCGAGTGTGAAAAGGAATATCTAGAAAAGCTGTACCTTCATTCTCCATGGAACGCACAATTTTGATAAATCGCAGCCATGGGAGTGGCCGCTTCCACATAAGATCCATCCCTGGTGATGTTGGGGTGCAAACAAAGAACCCTTCTGGAGTTTTCGGGGAAGGAGCTAGAAATCGATCAATCTATTGATCCCTGGTCTGATCGGAAGCATATGCTCAGCTTACCAGTAGAGAACTTGGCTATGGTCGAAACATAAGCATCTCTATATTTTGCCTTCTTGAGCTTTGGTACGGGAATCTCCTTTCCACCAATGTGGAATTCGCTTTTCTTGTCATTTAGTTTCCTTTTGTTTGTCTTGTTTCCGATCCAATTCCACTCCTTCGCCTTGATGTGACCCTTGACAAACCCCCATTTCTTGAGTTGGCGGCTGTACTGGCCCGGGCTTTCTATCTGTGAGCTGAGTGGAGTGGACTAGCGGTATTGCAACACTTACGACTTAGCAAAAGAGTATTTGGACACCATGTAATCCATCACTTCGGGCAAAGACTTGTTCTCATGGATGTACAGTCGCTCGATTTCGAGCTTGTAAGGTTCGAAATCTGATTCCGCCATGATTGTGAGAATTGTTGCGGGAGTAAAGTATGGTGAGGAGTGTGCCGGATGAGCCTTCTTAAGGGACTCTGAGGTAAAACACAGACCATCTGGTCAGCTTTCAAGGTGTTCCAATCTGACAGACTGCAAGGCACCCACCTGGAACCTCATTGGCTGATTCTCACATATCGCTGCAAACCTTGACACTTGGCATGTATAGCCTCGTGAATATCACATACTAACTGTCCTATAACGTATTGTGATCTGTCAATTGTTGAACCCACACTCCGTAGTTGCGGTCAGTTATGAGTGTGTTTTAAGTGGTTTCTAGGGGGAGTCTACCCTCGACCGCTTGGACCTCATTCGTCCGTTCCCATACGTCGTGCCCTTCCCTTCCCTTAGATCTCATATCCCGTTGAAATAATTCTATAATTTGCACCAAAGCTCCACTTTGAAGAATAATCTTATTCGTCAATTCTCATATATCGTGCATCTCCCGTTGGGTCCTCCTGTCCCGTCGAAGTAGTTCTAAAATTTGCACCAAGGCTCCGTTTGAAAGAAGAACCTCATTCGTCGATTCTCATATACCGTGCCTCTCCCCTTGGATTCTCATCATCAAAACCATTCTATGGTTTGCACCAAGGCTCATTTTCTGGGGATTTATTGCTTCTACGGCCACAAGACACAAGCATATATAACTAACGGTTTCCTACCCCCAGAACTTCCCATCAACAATCCTTTAGCATTCTCATTTTTGGTCGCTCGTCCTGGTGGCTTTTCTTACATTAAATCGCTCACTTAGCTCAACATGGCAGGGCCCTATGATCAACAGTGGGAAGATACCCGTATTTACGGGTATAGTCTAGAAGGTCCTATCCAGACATTTCCTCACCTAATTCCCGATCTCAGCTGGAGCGCATCTGCAGAATTCGAAGGTTCCATGCCCAATGGGGTACCTGTCACCTCTTACCTGTCGCCTCGCCCCCAAGTAAATTCCTTGGCAGTGCAGGGGGGTTCTACTCGTGCCATGTCAACTAGCGTGCCCCACCAGCAAAGCGCCTCCAATTCTAGAATTGCTGCCCATTCAAATCTCTCCCAGCAACCGGCCCCTAGAAAACGGCAAATCAGCGGGTAGGACAATTTCCCAGATATGCAATATCCAAAGCGGAGCTATATCTAACTCACTCCATAGTTCGCCTTCGCACAGCCCCGACGATCTAGAGTTCCAATGCAAATGGGAAGGCTGTGGCTACAGGGGCACGTTCAAACGAGAATCCTCCCTCATCCGTCACATTCGGAAAATACACGTCAGCCCTCTCGCTCATCCATGTCCAGTGCAAGGCTGCGAGAAGGCCTTTAATCGTGCGGACAATCTCGTTCAGCACACACGAAACAATCACTATACTTACTAAGGAGGTCATGGGAGTCAGGGTTTCTTTTTGCTCCTTATTTCAATATTGTTTCTCTCTGGATATGTACTTGCGTTTACCTCTTTCTTTTCTCTCTTCGGTTTCTCTTTTTCTTATACCTAGAGAGGCTAGGATCAATAAATGTTCTTTAACAAAATGTAGTACTAGAAAATATGATAGGAAAGATCCGAGGGTTATACGTGGATCAATTACACGTCAACATTGCCAAAACTTGAAAATAGTACCAAGCTTCTAACCCTAAACCCATAGACTGTAGATCGGTTACTGATCGAACCCCATTTTTATATTACTTTACTAATTATGCCGTGCCAATACGCATGAAGTTTAAGCCTGCTTTCGTCACTCTATGAATTACTAGACTAGAGCCTACTTAAATTTCCACGATCCAGATTTTAGCGAAATAAATTTTGAAGTTATATTAAGGGGACCAAAGGATCAGTATGAAGTATAGATACAAACGTTGAATCCCATTTAAAGATCGGGACTTTGATACTTGCGAGTAGGTATACTCCACAATGTAGCCATGCGTTGACTAGTCTCTATGGTAACTTTGAGGTTGTCAAGAACTGACAGGTTAAACACTGCCTCGTGCATAGCAGGATAAGTTTGCTTGAAGAAATGGAATACCGTATCATTTTCCACTCGAGGCTGACGGTATATTGAGGAAGTGTGTCCCAACCTTGCTCATTTCTAACGGTGAAAAGTAAAAAAAAAGTGAAGTACGAGATCAGGGCAAAATGACTAGAGCTTCGATGTTTAAAAACTCTTTGAATGTTATCAGACACATCACCTAATAAATATAAATATGGGAGAGAGAGAGAAATCCATCTTTACCAAACGACGTTCAACATAACCTTGGAACCACTTTAGATGGGGCTATACACACCGCGCCACGTGATTCCCGCCACCAGCCACAACTGTGCCACAGCAAATTATTAAATCCACAACGGATTCGCCTTTGAAAGAAATCCAGAAATTCAGCAGCCGTAATCACACCATCACTTACACCATGTCTCCAACCGGGAAGTGAGTATACACAGTTGCAGTCCTACAAAAAACATCCGCCTAACAAAACTTTCTATTTTACAGCCGCGCCGACTGGGCCGACGACGAAGATTTCGATGACCCCTCCGTGCTCCCGCCGCAAGAAGTGATCGCGAACAAGGACGGCACCAAGACCGTCATCTCCTACCGCTACAACGATGACAACAAGAAAGTGAAGGTCACCCGCCGAATTAAGACCACTATTGTCCGCGAACACGTCAACCCCCAGGTCGCCGAACGCCGCAAATGGGACAAGTTCGGTCTCGAGAAGGGCCACGCCGTCGGTCCCTCGTTCGACACCACCTCCGTCGGCGAGAACATCATCTTCCGCCCCAGCGTCAACTGGAAGGCTAATGCTAAGGAGGTTGAGAAGGAGGGTGGCGAGAAGGGCAGCATGAAGGACCAGTTGAAGGACAAGAAGGTCAAGTGTCGTATTTGCAGTGGAGAGCATTTCACGGCTCGCTGTCCCTTCAAGGACACCATGGCCCCCGTCGAGGAGGGCACTGCTGCTGCTGGCGGCGCCGAGGCAGAGGACGATGCGGGTGGTCTCGGTGCTGGAAAGTCCAGCTACGTTCCTCCTCACATGCGGAAGGGCGGTGCTGGTGGCGGCGAGAAGATGGGTGGTCGTTTCGAGAAGGACGATTTGGCGACTCTCAGAGTTACAAACGTATGTTCTGCCATTATTCTGCTTTCTACACGCTCTACGAGCATCATGCTTGTTTATCTTGGTTCGGTACTGACTTTTTCTTTTTTCGTTGCAAACAGGTCAGCGAGTTGGCAGAAGAGAACGAGTTGCGGGATCTCTTCGAACGTTTCGGTCGTGTCACCAGAGTCTTCCTTGCACGGGATCGGGAAACCCAGAGAGCCAAGGGCTTTGCTTTCATCAGCTATGCGGATCGTGGCGACGCAGCACTTGCTTGCGAGAAGGTGGATGGCTGTATGTCTTCAATATTCCGTTTCATGGTCTTCTTTCTACAAGTTCCTCGATTGCTAACCTGTTTTTCTGCTAGTCGGTTACCGTCACCTTATTCTCCGCGTCGAGTTCGCCAAGCGCACTACTTAAACTTTTTTCTCGGTTCTCTCTTACGACTTTTTGAATGGAACTTTTCCTTCTTCTCAGGCGGGCCTTTCTTTGGGCCGAAGCTCTTTTCCTTGTACTGTAGGACCTGGTTGATAATGATGATTCCCAAAAAGACATCCAGCATGTCAGTTACTTGCATTCGTCAGTCTATACAAAAGCAATGGGTTAGAGAAATTTGAACTTCATACATGGTTTTCCTGGTTGTTTCACCGGTCGTACCCTCTTCCACGGTAGCAGTGTTCTTTCCGTTTTTGGTAATCCTTCCAAGGTTATTCTCGAAGGAACTGTTCTATAATTGCTACACGGTTACCATGGAACATCTCAAGCATCCATGGGAAACCAACCACGTGCTTGTATGAAGGGAAGACGTCCAAGAAACAGCATACGTGGACAAGTCTGCTATAGTTCACCACCCAGCATTCCATTTGTTTTTCGAGGTGACGGATCAGCGTAGGGATGGAGATCATTGTTGGGTTAGAACTTGGTTTCAACATCCACCTACTAGACATGTTAATGTGTAATTTCCCTCTTAAGAAGCTCAAATTGCTTCAAGCTGCTGACGTGATAACAGTGGATGCCAATCCATGGGCACCAAGGCCAATCTGCTCTTTGCAAGCTTTCTCTCGCTGCTGACTTCATCTGAACTTGACAAATTTCCACATCTTCCCACCCTCCTAACCAACACAAATCTGGAGCCCAGGTGCCAGACTCGGCTGACAGCAATCCTGCACGCCGTTGACGGCGAATCTGTCATCTGGGAGATAAATGTCGCAGGCCTCGACTGTTCGATTGTTCGAAGGCTCCAGGGATTGCATTGAGACATCAAATTTTCTGCATCTTCGCATGACAGTGGAGATGACATCGGAAGGAAATGGAGTTCAAACAACCTGGACTTTTTCCTATTGTGCCCTAGCTTCACACTACTGCGTACTCGCTACGCCCCCGGGTGCCAGATCCCAGGGTCAATCACCAATGTACCAATGTACAGATCGATATTAGATCTCAGCAAGTCAAACCCAGACCCAGCCTCGGCGGCAAAAGTTGTCGGGTCTAAATTTCCCGGTAACGGGATTGGGTTGCATAAGGTAGCATCGGTGTTTCTTTTAGGAAAGAGACTTGAATCGGCGGGAAAAGCTTACCTACGGGTCCGGCTTTTCGCCGAATGCTCCCCTACTAGACGAGACGGGCTATGTAGACGGTGGCGGAGAGGCCGAGATGTTGTTCCCTGTAGGTTTGGCCCTAGCTCCTTCGGAAACGCTCACCAGCCCACCGTGTTTTAGCATTCCACTCCGCCACGGCGGTATCCAGTATCACACCCAGACACATGTGAAGGGGCGTTCGTGACGTTCCGGTGTCTTAGTGACATTGCAGGGAATGTCGGCGTCAAACACCATGATCCACTTGTTATTGGCTCGAGGAGTTCGACCAGAAGGGCAGTTCTTCACTGGGAGCGTTTCGGCCGGTGAGCAAGTTTTTTTCTTGGCTGTTCCTCCGTGCTACACCGGCACGGCTTGGGGTTGGCTGGGCTACTCCCAGGATGGTTGTCAAGGGCTAGTAAGAATTGCCACGGGGAGGCAAAAAACGGCCGGATGAGTTGTTGGATGATGAGTGGGGTCTTCAACTGGTCTGCATCCAACGCTATCCAAAGCATATTCCTCGCCTGACAAGCTTCATATCCAGAATTTTGGAGGGCGGCGAGCCAATGAGACATCCTTCCTTCTATTGTAATCCTTGTCTGGTTGATGCCTTGTCTTTCCATCCATGCCGACAGGGTCGGATACTTCAGACGTTGATGGAACTTTTTCGCCGGGAGCTTCGTGGTCGTGATACGATCTGTGCTGGCGGGCTGTAGATCCAGGGTGATCAAGGTTTGGGATCACAGGGTGAGGAAACTGCCAATAATCATCCCAGTCTCGGGGCAAACTCTTGTCTTCGCTGACAAGGAATTCGAGGGTGAAATGATATTGTAATTTCCCACGGCAAGGCATCTAGCCCACTGCAGTAGGATACCAGTACTCAGATCTACTTTCACTGAAAGTAACCATCAATCTCGGAAGAAGTGATACACAGGTAACCCATCACAGAACCTTGTGTCCAGGCGACCTAATGCGAGGAATTGTGGGACCATCTTGCTTAATCTCCGTGGACGAAAGGGCAGGGGAAATTCGGTTCAATATCGTACCATTGCCGTTGAATAGATGTGCTAGCTCGATATGGTATGAGTCCTGAGATGGTACGGAGTACAAGATACTAGTAGAGTTAAGTTGGTCAATTTTTTTGCCCGGTCAAGGCCGGTGGATGTCTCGGGATGGAAGCCCTGGAGCGGCCGTTGGTAAAGTAAAACTTTAATCTGTCTCAGTCAAGGCAGAAAAGATATTGTCTTCGGATATGAGGCCGACTCTTTCCTTACTTGGTAGTCATTGTCCAAGAATATCTCCTCCGACATGCGAGGATTTGAACTCTAGGCCCAATCGACCAGGATTAGCGCATTGAACATGGCATATGGGTCCATCGGGCGTGTCGCATCCTAAGATCCTGGAGCAACGAGCATATGGGGCTGAGGCAGCAAGACAAGGGGATAACAGTCTAGAATGACACTCTGGATCTGTACCCAGGTTAAATTGTTGGCGAATGACCTTCTTTGTTTTGAATTTTCTGGTGTTGATGTAAAAATCGTAAATACCCCAATAACACGGTTAAGTCAGCAATCCCGACTCCGGGATGTGGTTATAGCTCTCAACCTCTTACCGTTGCCTAGTAGGCCGAGCTGTAGCTTTGCGCCCCCTCGTCCAAAGATCGAACACCCGAATGTAACCAACAATGAAGGGTATGGCATTGGCCACGGGCTTTGCCATTGACGTGCAGCGAAAAATTGTTGCACGGAAATAAAAATAAAAGAATTTCGAGATGTGAACCATGGGGACAACTCGGTAGATGGCACGTGCCCGAAACAGATGGTCTCCAAAGGGCCCCAACCCTTGAGACAGATTGGCTGACACAGTTGCAACGTCAAACTGTCAGAGTTTTCCGGCTTATAGGGTTCTGGGGCTAACCCATGTCGGTAGAATCCATAGATGGGTTCATGCATTTCCTTAAAAGTCAAATTATTATTGGCATTGGCTTCGAGGTACCTGCAGTGAGCCCTGAATGTATCCACGTATCGGACAATTTCTGAGCACTCGTTTCTCTTCTGTATCTCATATAATGCTGTGCTCCTGTACCTGAGCACCAAGTAGAGTTGATATATCGAAAAGTGACATGTGGAGAGTTGTCGGGTATGGACTGATGGATCTGATAGTTGTCTTTCGGGTGCATTATTAGTTGCATAATAAATGATTTGAGATGATTTGATTTCAATTAGAGTTGGCCGCCTTAACATTCCAATGGTTCCTAATGTGCAATGAATGTTGGTTATATATATTAAGCAATTTGAACATATACCTCGAGCCCTAATAGTAGGTGCCGAGACACTTGAGTACATTATACATAGTTAGTCTAACTATCTACCAACCCAATGTCTCAGCTCGATGTACCTGGTACATGTAACTTTCTCGTATCTTCAGTTCACCGCCCCCCTGCACGTGTCAACCCCCATGACCATCAACCGTCATCCGGGAAGGGGCTGATCCCCCGAGAGTCAAAAAGAAAATATGTCATTGTCGCCCCCTGGGCGCTCTTGTCACCCTCATTTAAACGTGACTGTGTGATTCGAAGTTAGTATCATTGATCGGTACTTTGTTAACCTGTTACGGTTAATCACCCTGCACCTAGTGCCGATTTCGGTACGAGCACGGTCGTTGTGTGTGTGGGCTGTGGGGGCGAATAGCTGCACAACATACCCGCCATAACCACTGAGGAAATCCAATCTACGGGTTATCCAGCGAATCATAAGCGTGCGGGTGCTTTTTCACTCCACCTTGCCATTTGACCCAGCCTCCTGCAGGATGGTCGATCTGCTAGCCACTAACGCGATTCAGTCGACACCGATCAAGATGGATCCACTCATGAGGCCAGGATGTTTTTGAATCTACAGAGTATAACTCCAATCTCCTTGGTATCTCCTTCAACGGAACGGTGGGACTAGTGCCGCTTTCTGGAAAAGGCTCCCGGGTACGGACCGCAATCATTGTATGCCCCGCTGAGCTGCTTTAGCCTCTCTTGTGGAGACTGGAGACCCCATCTGCAATTAGGCCACCAGGACGGGTTTCGCGCCAGGAGAAAAATCGGGCTTACCAGAACTATCTGGATCTCTTTCGGAGTGGGGTGGATCTAGTTGGGGGGTGCATCGTCTTGAATGTACTATTTTTATTGCTCTCCCGGGTCGCGTCGGTTCTGTCGGTGTGAACACCGCCAACATTGACAATGCAACATGCTTAATGGAACTTGTCGATCGCATGATCGTCCACTTTGTTCATGCAAGAATTTCTGCTCGTGCCTCGAGCCTCCTACGGTTTAAAGGACTAATCCCATAGACCTTCCAACAAAACACGGAATTTGGCCAAGACTTTTCTTTCTACCCGTTTGGGTCATTTCTCATATTTAATTTGCCCTTTTTTTGTTTATTGGTCTGTGGTCCCCCAAGTCTGATACATCAACCACACTCTGTCATGGGTCTGCATAGGGTACATATCCTGGGGGTCGATCATCTCCTCTATCCTTTCTAGTTTCAGCTTATTTCGCTCTCCTGCAGCAACCCGTCTGTCGGGTATTCGCACTAGGACATCTGATCCCATCGGGAATTATCTGTAATGGAAAACACATACAATGTGTACGTACCGTGCCTTACCCATCACGGTCCGTGCAGCCGGCATCGGGTCCTTCTAGCACGTAACATGGGTTGTTCTGACCAATGCCATACTATACTGCTTAAACAATCAAACTATCTGGAGCCAGTGATGATTTGATGCTACTCTCCTTCCCACGGAGATACGTTCCTAGACTATTTTCGCTTGACCCGGACAACCAAAATTCCAAATTCAGAACTTCAAAATACAAATCATTGAGAAAAGAAAAGAAAAAAAAGAAATTTCTTGTTTACTTTTTTCTTGTTGTTTCCTCCAAAGAGAAGATCATACACAGGAAACGATAATGCGGATGTGTTTGGCCGATTATGGTTGGACCCCTATGCAAATCCACTGCTGCCACCCATTGGAGCCTTGCCGAATACAACGTATTTCTCACCGTCCCTGGCAGCTCCCAACTCGTGGTTATGGTCGCCTCTCGGCTAGACTATCACTGAGCCCCGTGAGAGCCTTACCGGTTACTAGGGTAGACTAATGATCCTTCAAGGTAACAATCCCGAGAACGGGTTTAAACAATATTATAGACCGGAATCATGAAGTAGATATCAATTGCAACCTTTCTCTTATTTCCGAGGACCATAAAGATCAATTACATACGTACCACATCCATTGATCCTAACACCTCACACTCTATCCAACTACTTCTCCATTTATCAGGTAAGCCACCGGATCTACTTCCTGCAACCTGTCAAAAGAAATGATTCCTCAAGATTCACTCTGATTTGACCGTGCTTCTTTCTTAAATACCAAAGTTAGGGTTGCAGAATTGGAAGCATTCTTTCCTTTCTGCAATACCTGCAAGATACTTACCTCTTGGTGTCGGAACAAGAGCTTCTTATTTGCTCACACCCCAGGGCTGTCACACCAGATTACATCAGTTGTCTTTTTCTTTCCCCTTCTGGATCTCCCATTTTTATTTTTATTTTTCTTTCTTTTTTTCTTGTTTTGCCCCTCCGTTAACTGTGATTGCTGTGATTGCTATTATTGTTATTATTGGGATTTGGGATTTTTTTGGGCTAACTTTTGGCTAATTTTTGGCTAATTCTTTTTCTTTGCCCCCAGTCTTCTTTCTTCACACCCCCCCCCTCTTTCCCTTCTTAGATCGTGGTTTGCAAAGGACATAGATTCTGGCCCGATCTATTCTAACAGTCTTTCCTGGTACTTTTGTACCTATGACTTAAGTTGATGGGACATTTCCCAATTAGGAAGTCATGTCTATACACCGGTGACGCACTCCTTTGGCTCCCGGACATTCATCTACTTCTTCTTGTCAACGCCTGTCCAAAAGCGCACCGTTTTACTGAACATACTACATATGTATTACGGTTCACGCTCATCTTTATAACCCTGAAGACCTTTCCTATCTTCATTTATACTTCTTCGCTCTTTATCACCCACACACTTGTCTACTCACCTTTCACTCCAAGCTTTATCACTTGCCTTCTCCAAACTACTTCTTGTCGTGAGAATTGTGTTTTGGTTTATATCCGAGATTAAGAGCAGCTGTATTGATCTTTTCTTTCT